TTCCTTTCAATTTCTTCCTTGGTTACCCATAATAAAAATCTCTTTTGTGTTGGTGCTGTTGAAGATGAAGAGAAATTAGTCCATGATGAGAGAAGAGCTACGGAATTGCTACAGTGTTTGCTCGATGAAGACGATGCTGTTTTTGCGAATTGAGCAATCTTGGACAAGGCTTTGATTTGATGGTTTTGCATTTTTTCTTGGCATGAAAAATGGAATGAATGAATAATTCTTTACGAAATTAAGAGTGACACACAGTGGTTTACCCCGAGCCAAAATACTCCAGCGAGTTTGTTGGCGAGTTGGCGAGGGTCAACGTTTCTTAATGCATCATTTGAGTGCTTTTGTTTATGTACTTTATTGCACAACAACTCTTGCCTCAATTCCAACCGAGAGGGTGTATGCCTTGTAAAGCTTTAGGCAGATCCGCCCGGAATTGCATAACGATTTTTGGCAAAATACAAATAGTACATGCAGACCATTTGCAACTCGTGAGAACAACATATTTGGATGAAACATGATAATAAGGGGCTAATAAATGGCAGCAACAACAAGAACCGATGAAACTTGAAAATAAGGGACTACTCAATAACGAGCCGTGTGACTTTTTAATTTTGTAAAGAATTTTAATACCATCAATCTTGATGCTATTCATTGAATGATTATGCTTGAAAGGTTTAAGGGTGGTGCTGATTTTATCAGTACAGTACTCAGTATTGAGATTGGGATTCTTCGAGTTGAGCACTTGAAGCACTTTCGCTTTGACAACTCACACTGTTGTTGGAAGGTAATGTATGACCTGTACTCAAACTACTTCCAAGAGTGGGATTCGTTTTCAGCTTTCTATGAGCGTCACCATCATGTATCATAGTTTCCTTTTGTTCAACATGGTTATTTTCAGGAGATGAAATAATTATTGATAAAGGAGAGTGATTGGATACACATGAGCTATCATCCTCAACTAATTCCTTGATACATTCCATGATTGAGGTCGCATATTTCTCCACATTTTCCTCTACTAGGGCATTGGAATAACACAGAGAAATTGTCATTTCCCCACTTTTTGAATTGGTGTGAAAAATGTTGGATAGTCCAGTTGTAGATCCACAGGCAGAATATGAAGCAGCAAGCAATTCAAATCGAACTCTTTTACCAACCAAAGGTTCTACTATTCCAATGTTGCTCATAACAATTTGAAAAGACTCTTTTTTGCTAATATTAAATTTAAGAAATTTGTGCATGATTTGGTAAGTGGCAAGAGCATCATGATATTTGCGCTCTAAATGGTGTTTTGTTTGAAGAGCAATGTCTAAAATTACGTCTTTTAGACTGCGAATCGAAGAGTGAATACGATTTTCGTCATGATGTCGTTTGTGATGACTGTTGAATATCTGGTCTCCTCCAGTGCTATTTGAGAGATGATTATGGGAGAAGTGAGAACGAGTTCCAGTAGTTTTCTGTTCATCTTCGTGGTTAGACCGAACATGGTCGTTGATGTTATGAATGAGTAATTCATCTTCCTTAATACCAAGGTTTTCGTGGTGTAGCTGAGATATTGAACGATGAGGGAGAGAAAGTTTAACAGGAGCCAATATGGTGCAACTAAAACTTCGAAATACTTTCATACACTTTCCCAGAGGTATTAACAATCCCTCTCTAAAGTCGACAGTGAGCGAATTTGTAAATCCAAACTTGGTCTTGTGTTTCGACTTTTCGTTTAACTGTCTATTTGACAGCGTCCATGCCAAAGTGCATATTCCATGCAGCAGGCAAGTTATTGTCAAATGGTGTTGCTTGGAGATGTTCAAAACTTGTTCAAACACTTGTTTTGGAATTTTCAATAATTTCACCTTTGTGAAAGAGGGGTTTGGAAATAATTCTCGAAGAGGAAAAGTAATGGTTGGAGACAACCCATTATATGAGATGACTCGAGAAACGAATTTTGAATACTCTACTAATTTCCCCCATTTCCCCAACAATCCAGGAACGTCCTTGCTTGCATGATGATGCTCTCTTGAAATATTGTTCGGCACCTCATTATTTGATCGCTCACTTGTTGTGGAGGTTGGAGAGGCATTTGTTGATGTTGAAGCAGACGCCTTTAACGAGCTTGTTCTCAACTCAGCGTCGACGGCAACATCTGTTTTACGTGGTCTTCTTCTAAGGGTTCGAGAATGATGTTGCTTTGAGGGTCGAAGAGAATCTAATTCAATAAGTGCTTGCATTGGAGAAATCGGTGTCACAGACGTGATATCGTTCAATGCTTTTATCCTCACTTCTTCCAATTCTTTTTCCGTTTTTTGGTCCTGTTCACCTAGAACGTAATCAAAAATTGCTGCAAATTCTTCAAGAAAGTGTTTGATGCCTTGAGCGTCACTAAGAGCATGAAAAAACGAAAAGCAGCATAGCCATCTTCCTTGAGTGTGTGTGGTTCTGAAAAGAAGCATTTTCCACATGGCTGTAATCTGACCTGGATTTTGTAGGCACTTCCAAGAGTGTTTCAGCTCTCTTTGCATAACATGACAGAGTAAATCGTCTTCATTTTGAATAGAGGTTGATTGAGTGTTCTCTAGAAGGTCGTCTTCATTTTCAAATATTTCGATATCTACGACGGCATTTTCCACAATTTCAAACTGAATCGCTCCAGGAGTTACAATAATTTCTCTCTCCCAAACTTCTCTAGCTGTTGCAGAATTTAAACTTCTCTTGCTTAATTTCTTTCTCACAACCGAATCGTTGAGTGTAGCAATCGAGCAAAGAAGAGGATGCCTAAATTTTAGAATATTGATACATTTTTCACACGTCTCTTTCAAACTTTTGACTTCGTCTTCAATTGTTGAACTAGCCGATTTTGAATTCTCGCTACGAATGGTTTCATAATTACCAGTATTGGAATTGATTGTGACATCACCGGATAGATGTATGTGAGTAGATAAACGCGAGTTATTCTTCAATATTATTTCAGCAATTACAGCTAAATTATGATGTCCCAAAAACTCATCATGACTGATTCTCTGGAAATAAAACTGCTCTCCCAATGTTGTTTCAATCACTCCTATTGGCATATTTAAATTTAATTGTTGCAAATGTTGATGAAGTTCACTGGAGAGCGGAATTGGAAAATAGTTTGTGAAACTATCATGATGATCGATATCATTGTCATCTTTTTCATTGTTTCGCGTTCCACCATCGTGATGATGTTTCCGAGACAAGTGGATAGGCATTCTTTTGCTTTTTGATGGCCATTGATTGGGAAGAAGAAAAGTTTAAATTTGGTAATTTCTCTGAGATCGCTTGTGCACTAATGTAGAAGTTTTCCTTCTTTCCGTTGTTTGACGCTCACCAATACTCTCTTATCCGAGAGTGCATGTGATAGAGTTCCATGAAGCTTTTCTTGTTGTTTCATCTCCAATTTTTTAAGAATAAAGATCCACTTCATTTAAAATTTACGATTCTTCTGGAATGGCGCCAAACCATAAAAACAATTAAAATGAAAATATTCGTGTTTGAGGCTGATGACTATGCAGAGAAGTACCTCTGCGAAAGGTTGTATGCGGAAGAAAACGTATGTAGGAGGGGTTTGAGTTGAATATTGATTGAAAAATGAAATCCTTGATTGCTTTGCGATAAATTTTGATAAAAAAATGTTTATTGAATTTGAAACTGCTGATTGTCATCATTACTGGCATCGGAATGAATAGTATGTGATTGGAACAAGCAAATCAGGAAAGGATTCAGTGCAATTCGTGAATCAATTAGTTCAGGTATGATCATCAAATTTTAAATTTGAAACGAATTTATACGTCGGTTAATGAACACAGAACGACCCACAAGAAATCAAATCAGCCTTGTTGGAATGTGATGCTGTAGTATATCGATTGAAGGATACCAATATTGACGACACTCGATATGCCATTAAAGTTTTGGAGGCGGCTGAATTTAATGACACAAAAACATTTATTTTAATATCGAGTTACATGTCTTGGCAAGCACCAGAAAAAACACAGTCGAAGAGGAGACACAAGATGAAGAAACATCAACCAATCAAACTAAACAAGCAAGAAAGCCATACGAGGCATTTACAGAGGATGCCTATGTGACAAGAAAACCTCATCCTTCATTTAAAGGATTTGTTGAGATTGAAAAACGAGTAATGAGAGCAAAATCAAAATTCCTCAAAACATTTATCTTTTTCAGCGGGCTTCTTTATGGAGAGGAGGAGGATAAGCTACATCAATGGTTCAAATTAGGATGGTGTTGTGAGGGAGAATCATTGCCAGTATTTCTTGACGGCGGTAATTATATTCCATTGATTCATGTGAAAGATTTAGTGTCAATCATCCACAAAACAATTGATGAGCCACCTCAGCCAAAGGATGAAGGAGACGACTATCAGCAATCATTTTTTGCTTGTGACGATTCCCAACTTACTCAGAACCAAATTGTACAGTGTTTGAGCGAGAAATTTGGGTATGGAGGAAAAGTCGAGCACCTATCTGAAGAAGATTGCTTAATTTATGACCACTACGACTACTTTACCGCTGACGTGAAGTTTGCAGTTGGAGCAATTGCTGAAATGCAAGTTGAGTGGATTTCAAAAGAAGGACTGATTGAGAATATTGAAAAAATCAAAAAAGAATTTGAAATGAGGAGAAACTTGGCACCCATGAGAATTGTAATGTTAGGACCTCCAGGAGCAGGAAAAAGTCTGCACTCGCAGCACTTGTCTAGAAAATACAGACTTGACTGTATTGATGTACCTTCTGTCATTGCCTATTTTCAAGAACATGTGAAAGAAAAAGAACGGGTCTACCTAAATTTAGTACAAGAAAAGAAGGACAGAATTGAAAGGGCAAACAGTTAAGAGCTCAAAAGCAGAAAGAAAAAGAGGAACTATTAGCAAATCAACAACCAAACACAGAGGGAGAAGACGTGAGGAGACTGCTCAGGCTGAACAAACACCTGAAGAAGAGGTCCCAATAGAAGAAGAAAAAGAGGAAGAAGAAGGGTCACCAATCTCTGTTGCAAAAGCTGAGTATGAAAAGTTGCTTGCCATCACTCAATTAAAGGACGGAGACAGATTTTCGAATAAGGCGATTACTGACATGTTCAGATGGAAGCTTGGCCAACCAAAGCATCTAAATCACGGGTGGATTATGGATGGTTTTCCAAAAACAATAGAACAGGCAAAGCTTCTCTTTACAAAACCCAAAGTAGAGGAAGAAGAGGAAACCAAGGAGGTGGACGATAAACTCTTTCCAGATTTTGTCATCACTTTCAAAGCCAAAGACACAGTTTTAGAGGATAGATTGATGAATTTGAAGTCTCCAATTTCTGGACATAATGATGAGGCTGGATTTAAACGAAGATTGCAAACCTTTAATAAGACCAACGATATTAATGACCTCAAGAATTATTTACTTGGATACTTTGAGGAAACTGTCACTGATAAAAAGAGACAATGCATTTCAAAGGAAATAATTATCCAATCAGAAAGGCCAGAGAAGGAAGTGTTGAGAGAAATGACAGATTTCCTTGGAAAGCCACACAATTATGGACCTACCCAGAAAGAAATTGAAGAAAAAGAAAGAAAGAAGCAAGTAAGAGAGGAAGAACGGTTAAGACTCGAAAAGCAAAAACAAGATGAAGCAGCAGCTTTGAAAAGAAAACAAGCAGAAGAAAGAGAGAAAATTCTCAAGAGCGATGCAGAACGATTAGAAGAAATTAGAAGACAAGAAAAGATGATGCTCGAAGTGAAATCTCAACCTCTCAGAATGTACCTTATGGAAAATGTGATTCCAGTGCTAACCAAGGGTTTGATTGAGGTATGTCAAATGCAACCTGAAGATCCAGTCGATTATTTGGCTGAATGGCTATTTAGGCAAGTGGAGAAGAGTACAGAAAAGCAATAATAGGATTGTAATCTAAGATGATGTACGTTCATTAAATATTAAACAGTTGTTGGTGTTCCAACAAGTGTATTGGATTGACATCAATCAAAAAAAAATGTTGAAACATTATTACAAACGAACTCTTGCGTCTTCATCACTAAGCCACCAAAAGCTTCTTGCTGAGTATTTCAAGAGGAACATTATTGATTCAGGTAGTACTATTGGTTCCCGATTCATACCAATGACCGAGCTCACTCATTTCCCAATCATGCAACTGAAATACTCTGGTTTTGTTTCTCTCGGAATGAGTTATCATACCCATCGGAATCAACATCAACAACAGAGAACTTATAGATCCACCTCGTTTCATCATCGCAATGAATACAGAAAAACGTTGGTCAAATATGCTCTCATGCTTTCTCTGACTCTTCCGATCATACTCATGCTTGGATCCAAATATTTATTAATTCATTTAACTCAAGAAGAGATGCAGTTATGGAATTCCATCATCAAGCCTATAGATTCTATTGATCAAATATTTTATAACGAAGAAACAACCACTGAAAAAGCAATTAATGAAGAACGAACAACGGAAATGGCAGCAACCATGGATGAGGGCCCTCTTCATCGTTTGATGAAAACAACAGTAGTGGATCATAATATCTATGAATTTACTTCAGAGAATATTCGCAACAAAATACTGGACATGATTTCAGAATCCATCCAGAAGGTCAAACAGACGTGCGATTTTTTTGAATTGGATGATGTTGAGAGTCTGAAAAGTAAAATTAAAACCATTGCAATCGATAAGAGACAAACTCGATCGTTAATAGTGTGGAGAGGAGAAACTAATAATGATGAGGTTAAAAAAGATTTTAAATTATTTAACACAAAAGGAATTTTATTTATTCACGCACCTGTCATGACTAGTAAGGGAGTCGTTTTCATACGAACAGGTGTACAAGTTTCGGACATGAATAATATGACCATGCATCCGTATAGGATTGACGTGTGTCAAGTTGAAGTTAAGCATTATGATCGAAACACACCTGAAGATAAAACACCAACCAGAGTTGTGTTTAACAGGGGATTCAGGGATGAAGAAGACGATACTTCAATTTTACCAGTTTCCTATGAACAATTATCAGTACTCTTTGAGGAGTATTCATATATCAAGTGTGCAAAAATTCCAACACCTAATCACGTGATTGAAATTTCATCTATTGAAAAACCAGTGACCACCAATGCTTATGGATACGAGTTTAGTGATTCGTATGAGTCTGGAAATCAATTGAAATTAGTAAGGGTTACAAAATAATTGCGAGCATCACCTTTGCCTTTCAAAATATTAAAAGTAAACAGACATTTGGCGCAAAAACGGGACCACAATCCAGCTCTGGACCTTCCGCCCAATCTTATCGTATGATAAGAATCACACTTTGTCAAAAGAACTTGTTAATTCAAATGTCATTCAACAAACAAGGAGCACAGGGTCTATAATTATAATATTGAAATTCCACTCAGAGATTTATTTGAAATTGTATTTGAATGAGATTGGGAAATATTTGGAAAGGCCGTTTTCAATGGCATAGTCTCGGGCAGTTTTTTGTACGTGGTCTCTTAGATTTTCATTCACTCCTAGCGTGTTCACGCAGAATTCTGCCAAATAACCAATTTCTTCATTATTAAGCTCACACAAATAAAGGGCCTTCTTTTTGCCCTTGACGTCAAAAAGAGTGTGAAGAATGGTTTGTCCTTTGTTGGTTTGATAACTAGCGAACGCACCTCTCTTGATTAGATATTTGGCGCTTCTAAGCTGCTTATTGACAATAGCCAAGAACAAAGGCGGATATCCATCATAATTAGTTGAATCGATTTCAGCTCCGTAGAGAAGCAAAAGTTTGATGATGTTTGACATTCCAGAACCTGCTGCTAAGTGCACGCATGTATTTCCATGCTCGTCTTTTGCTGTAATATCCACGCAGAGGTCTTTCACCAAAATCAAGGCCATCTCATACAGAATTCTTTCTTCATCTTCGTTATAGTAAATACAATTACAAATTAAATGCAAAAGGCTTTCATCATATTCTCCTCTTATCCTAATTACGTTCTTTGAATATTTTGCAAACAGAGCAAAAAGTTTAAGGTTAAGTCTGTCAAGAGCAATTAGCATTGCACATCTGTGATCCTTAAAAGATCCTGTAGAAGAACCTTTCACGAGACATGGGTCCGATCCAGCGGCACATAGTGCCTCTATTGTTTTGTAGAACATTTCTTCTTTTGAGGTGTCTTCAAATCTATCAAACTTTTCTAATAGATGTTCTAGAATGTGTTTATCTTCTCCTTCTGTGAAAATGTTATACTCAGCTCTATGATGACAAAGAAGTGTGACCATTTCTGGGTTTAGACACTCTGCTGCTATTAGTAAGGGCGGGGGTACAAAATTTCCAAAGTTAGAACACGCTCCATTATTTAGTAAAAACTCAGCAATGTCTAAATACCCCATTGCACAAGCAATATGTAGCGATGTCCTGTAGAACTCATCTTGCCAATCAACATAGTCCTTGTCGACCTCAATACATTTCTTCACTTTCTCGAAATCTCCACAACTAAACTTGTTGTTCGCCCAAAAAGCTCAAAGATTGAAATTGTTACTTACAAGACAGCAGTGTGAATATTCATTTCTGAACCTAGTTCTCTTAGTTTTTTAACAATTGTCATTCTTTTTGATATTTCGTCCTCCATTTTGGAGACATATCTTATTTCAGGAATATGATAAGCGTAATCACATGCGCTTTTTTTCTTATGAATAATGTTAATGTTGATATTTGGCGACTCTACAAGAGCAGAAACGGCTACGGTATTTCCTTGCTTACAAGCAACATGTAAAGGTGTTCCTAAGTGGCTGGAGTATGCATTGACGTCAAGGCCCTTATCAATGAGTGCTTTGAGAAGTTCTTTGAAGATCATTCTGATGCTGGCTGCAAGCCACAGGCAATATGGAGTAGGCTTCTTCCCTTATCCAAAGTTTGATTAATATCATTCCATCGCTCAAGCTTTTGTTTAAGAAGTTCCACGTTTTGGATTGTATGCATTCGACAATTTGGTCAAAAACAGTGTTGTGACCTCCTACAGAGGGAGAAAGTGCAACGTCATCAAACCCAAAGCTTGTGCCAATGACTTCTGTTCGTTCAGGGACTGGCTCCGATTTGTTCAATGATGTCACGTCAAAAGTAAAAGGTTGTTGACCAATATTCACCTCAATAGTACAAGGAGCATTGAAACCAATCACAGGATAAAGCACAAATGGATCCTCATGCTCAGGTTCCATAATTACTTCTCGTTCATTGTTCTGAGACAAGTATGAATTAATAGTTTGTTGATCAATGGCTTGGTCTCTCTTTTCTCTTACAACGAGCTCTCTAGTTGCTTCAGCAGGCAGACCATCATCCGTAGTTTCAAGTGACAGCGTTGGTCCTTCTATCCAACTTCCTTTTATAATTCCAACACCCTCAGAGTATATATATTTTACTTTGGTACGCTCAACATGTTCAATATCAGAGGCTTCTGTTAGTTTGGCCTCTTCCTTACTTGTTATAATTTCTTCTAACGAAGTCAAATCATAAAATTTTCCTAATAATGATCCATTAAGCGTAAAGAATAAATGTCTCTCAGGGAGAATAACTCCTGCTCCAATAGTATCGGACGCCTTGAAGGGCTGTTGAATTTCGATATATTTCGAGTCGTGCACAATAGAACCCGAGTCTCCATGATAGGCAAATGATCTGTAGATAAGTAAATAGCAACGGGAACCTTATTATCAACCATCCTTACTTACATTTCATCAAATCCAGGAAAACCATGATAGTATCCGTCCTTACTACTGAATCCGATAGCAATAGAAATGTTCTTGATACATCTAATGACTTGTGCCTCAAAATAAAAAACATTTTCTTGAGTTGATCGCAAATCGCAGCCGTTATTGACCATAACGCTCTGTTACAAATTTATGAGTACATATTCCAGCCATCTTGCGGTCAATCAATACTTACTGTATGATTACACGTTCCCGGTGTTGAAAACCGTATAAAGTTTTTCTCCAGATTCACCGAAATCTTCTTACGATCATCCCTTGGTAGAATATATAAGGGTGGTTCAGTGGGGCCGGAATTAGAATGTGGGGACATTTCTACATCTTGTCGTGGCTCCTTATTGCCATGGCCTTCTTCCTTGATATTATGAGCCTCCTTACGGTTCTGTTGTGGTGTATTCCGCTGTTTGGGCGATGGAGAATGGGAGGTGGGCGATACGCTCAAACCAATAACCTTCTTAGCTTGCTTGGGAGTATAACTTCTATAGAAGGTCTTAATTCGCCTACTCTCGATCCGTGGCGATGAGAGAGATGAGTTGGAGACTTGACTCATCGTAGATTCGGAGCGCAAAGAAACAGCAGAAAGGGATTCGTGCATTTTTTTTAAGGGTTTGATGCTTGGTGATTTCGTTTCTGCTGAGACGAGTCGTCTTGTGGACAACAGAGTCATGCTTGTGGACATGAATAGAGTCATTTGCGCACTTCTCAAAATTTCAACGTGTTATGTTCATTATGGTTGAAGAGTGGGACTTTGTACATGGCAAATAAATAGTGAATGATTTGGCAACTTGTTCATCGAAGAGGTCTCACGTTTAAATGTCAACAACAGCAGCAGTGTTTGGTGGTTGCTGAGATTGCTGTTCGATTTGTGTAGAATTTGCTTGCTTTTCTTGCTGTTCACTCTGTGCCTTTCTCAATGCCAGTCTTTTTCTCACTCAATTGGAACAGTTTCAATACCATAAGAATTTGTGGCAATATTCTTGTGCTTGGTTTGAACCTTGTCAATCATTTCTGCCTTTTTACCTCTCACAATCACAAGCACAGCATCAATCAGAAGCCCCAAAATTAATCCAATTAATCCCATGAGTATTTGATATTGTTTCTTGTTCTCGCCAGTAAACATGTATTGGGATGCAGTATAAAACACAACAAATAAAGTTGCCATGGTGATAACCAAATCAAGTCCAACTGATAATTGGCCCTTGTAACTGTTGAGAGCCTCTCTTTCATGAGCAGGAGCATTCACCACATTACGAACCAGTTTAGAATATTCATAATCACCTTGTTTCTTTCGGAGTTGTTCCGTTAACTTCACCCATTCAGGATTCTTTTTTGTTGGCGTTGTAGAGGTAGTCTTGGTTCTAAGTTTTGTTCCTTTTATCAATTTGTGGAGATATGTTTTTGGTGAGGTAGATGAAGCTTGAGTTTTTTCCGATGATGCTGACGACGAATTGGAAGAAGTAATTTTCTTTGCATTGTTTGTATTATTATTATTGGGAGATTTTTTCTTGTGGTTGTTGGCGTTATTGTTTTGTTGATCATCCTCTTGCATTCGTTCGTTCTTGAATTCAACAGTCCTTTTCAAAACATCAAACGACACATAATCTTCCTGATCATATTGATCGATCTGTACTCGGAGTGTGTTTTCTGTGGATGACATTCCGTACTGTACAAGATGATTCTTAACGGATTGCAAACATTGTTCAATTTCAGGTGTTTTCAGTATTTCCATTTTTTTAAATTAAATTGATGAAAATATTGAATTGAGAAGTTCCTCTTTTTGTAAATGAGCAAAAATTTTAAAAAAATTCGGTAGTAAAAGGGAGTTTTACTGAGGTTTGTTGTAATCAATAAAAGTGGTTGGTTGACTAATTTTTTGAATTTTCACTTTCAAAAAATTTACATTACTTGTGATATGGAACAATTATTATCAATTACTTCGAGAAAGGTGATAGAATCACTTTCTCTCAAAGAATTGAAAAGTATCTATAGCAAACTCAAGAAGGCTTTCCCAGCAGGGAAGAAGAATGATGTTGTTAATGATTTAATATCTTGCTACCCCTCTGACCAGTCCAACGAAATTACAAGTAAGAAAGAATTACTCAGAAGAATCAAGGATTTGAGAGTAGTTCCGGAACGGACAGAAGAGGAAGAGGTAGAAGAGGAAGTAGAGGAAGAAGAGGTCTCAAGTGAAGTGTTGTCAAAAAGGATTAGAGAATTAGAAGAAGAGTTAGACTTTATGCGTGATGAGGTTAAGAAAGCAAAGTCATCGGCCGAACGAGACATCAACCAAATCATGGTTGATTTGACTCAACAAGGCGCGTTTTCACAAAGGGATGTCTGTGATGACCAGCTACCAGCGGCCCTAGCTAATGGTCAACGAAATAGGGTTCTCGAGCTACTCAAGAGTGGGAAGAGTATTGATTTGAATCTATTTCAAATAGATTGTATGGCCGAATCTCTTGCCAACGAACGGGTGTCTACTGTTTTTGACCGTAACTCAGTCAGGAAGGAAGAAGTGGAGGAGTTTAGTTCTCTTGGAGCTATTTACAAGATTCTGTTGAAGAAACAGCTCAAGAATAAGGACGAAGATGAAGAGTTGCAACGGGCTATTGACTCAGTCGAGAATCGTGCATTTGTTCTCCTTGCGAGACAGAAGCACCAGCAAGCGGCAGAGATAATTAGTTCCTCTACACTCAACCCGTTGTTGAGAGAAAAAGCGGACCTGTTCTCTTGGGCGCTGAAAGCAGTGGGTAAGAGCGACAAAGATGCAAAAGTGTTGAAACAACAATTGAAAATCCCTACTCCAGAGAAAGATGTTAGCAATATAGTATGTCTATATTGTAAGAAACCAGGTCATACTAAAGAAACGTGTCGCAAAAAGATGAGGGATGATGAGAAAGCCAATAAACAACGAGGCCCTCACAGTTCTCTCTACGAAATCCTTCAGTTTTTTCCAAGATACTCATATGGAAGAAATTGCCTTCAGGAAGAAGGCTATTCATTCGATTTCCAACAAGTGGAGACAATGGGAAATGATGGGTGCCAAAAAAGAGATTGTGGGTTTTTTGAAAGATGGGGTTCCAATTATGGTCAGCAAGTATTTCATCCCTTACTATGGAAGAGTAGATATATCCCTTTGGTCGAAGGAAGAAAGAGAATTTCTAACGGAAGAGATATGTATGATGTTATCTATTGGTGCATTGGAATTCTTCCAAGGAACTCCGAAGGTGGTGGCCAAGTATCGATTGGTACCGAAGAAAGGAAAGAAGAAATTCAGATTAATTGTGGATCTTCGTCCCCTAAACAAGTATTGTTTGGAGATCCCAAAGTTCAAGTACAAAACTCTGAGCAAGTGTTTGGATCACATTCGCAGTGGTGGGAAAAAGTTTTGTGCTACGTTCGATTTATTATCAGGATATCACCAAGTGAAGGTGCGAGAAGAAGATCGAGACAAGATTGTGATCGAATTTATGGGTCATCTTCTTTGCTTCACAGTATTGACATTTGGATGGAATGGAAGCCCATTCTTTTTCACTCAGATAGTAGACGAAGGTGTTCGATTGTTAACAATAGAAGGCTATACATTGTCCAATTATTTGGACGATTTTATGGCTGTGTTATGTATCTCTTACTTAGATTCCTACAACAAGCTTGTTCGATTAAGCTTAAGGCTGGATTTTTATGGATTTGTAAGAGAACCTTCAAAAGGTTGTTTCAAACCTTCCTTAGTCTTTTTATTATTAGGAGCATTGGTAGATCTGAATTGCATGACTCTCTCTATTCCCGAAGAGGGTGTGGAGAAAATAGTTGCTCGATGCAAAAACCTCCTATCAAAAATGCACAGAGAGGAGGCCTTTTCCGCCCGAGACCTTGCCAAGTTGGCTGGCTCTGTTATGTCATATGTACACTGTTTTCAACCAGCCTTAATTGCTCTCAATCCCATTTATTCAAGAATTTTCAAGATGGTGGAGGATGGATGGGATACGCTACACCGTGTGAAAGACCACCAGTTATCGAACGCATTACAATGGATTCTTTGCAACATTCACCATTGGAACGGTCGATTATTTTTGTTTCCGTCATTGATCCACGAACTTTTTTCGGACGCCTCTTTATCCGGCTTTGGTGCTACAATGCCATTATTGAATTTTACCTTACACGGCTCTTGGTCTACTTATGGCATGGATCATATGCATATCAATGTTTTGGAAGCAAAAGCCATTTTTATTGCCATGGAAAAAATCGCTCCCCTTATTCAGGGAAAGTGTTTGAGAATTTTTTCAGACTCTCAAGTGATAGTGTTTTCTTTGCGAAAAGGTCGTTCCAAAAATTCCTTAATTCAAAGGATTGTGGAAGGTATTTGGAGAATAGTATTCCAATACGACATTCAATTAGTTGCTGTGGAATGGTTACCGTCGCCCCAAAATTCGATCGCCGATCAATTGAGCAGGTTGAAAACCACAGAAGAGATGGATTTCGGAGATTGGGAAGTAACCCCAGAGGCATTCGAAAGAGTTCAACATCAATTGCAGGTGAAAGTTCAGTTCGACCGTTTCGCCAGCAATTACAACTTCAAGGTTCCTCAATACATGGTGTGGAAGAGGACCAAGAGAGAACAGCCCGCAGATGCATTCAGTTGCTATTGGCCCAAGGAAGAGCTAAATTGGTGTTGCGTGCCGTTCAGCATTATCCAGAAGGTGCTAGAGCATTGCAAGCTTTGCCAATCTCAAATGATACTCGTTCACCCAGTATGGAAGGCAAAACCCTGGTGGCCTCTACTGCTGGAAGGCAAGGTTCGGTCAGTACCAATGTCTGGAACAGATTTCAGACCCTCTCGGTCAGGGAAATGCGAACCGCAAAAGAAAAGCTCTTGGCTATTAGAGGCGACCCTAATCGACTTTCGGATGACCAACTAACATCAGTTGGTGGACTAATTGAAAAGGCCGGTGCGGGTCGTGAGTCCACAAACACTACGTATGACAGTTATTGGAATCGATTTGTTAAATGGTGCGGTGAGAGAAATATTGCAATACCACCCACAGAGATGGATGTTTACAATTTTCTGGTGTGTCTTTTTCTTAAATGTAGGTCCGGAAAAAATTGTAAACTGGCAATGTTTGCTATTAAGAAGCGATGTAATCAGTTCAAATGGATTGACGTGGTGGGTGAACATATTTCATCTCTAGTTGATTGCATGATCAACATGGCACCAGTTTCATACGAGATTGAACGGAACGAGTGGCGTATTATGTACATTGATATGTGGATTCTCGAAGGGTGTAACTTTGTCGACAGGAGAACTTATGTTTTTTATACGACCCTTATGATCATCGGCATCAGGTCCATGTTACGAGGATCTGAGTTGGGTAGTATTTTAACCTCCAATGTGGTAGAAATTAACAAGAACAACATTAACGGAATCAGAATTGTTGTGGAAAAAGTGAAGAATGATTTTAAACGAAGCAAGAAAGGAAGAGTCATCGAAATTGAGGCAACTAACTCCAGGAGATGTCCTGTCGTCTGGCTTAGGTTATGGAAAGTGTGTAACCCTCAAAAGTATTTGTTTGGTAATGACCTTCCCTTATCCACGGCTAAAATTTCGGACATTCTTAGATTTGTAGCAACCAGCCTTAAGATTTCGGGTTCTTTTTCTAGTCATTCCTTAAGAATTGGAGGAGCGTCAGAGGCAGCATTTGCTGGTTTCTCTCACACAGCAATCCAAGCTCTAGGTGATTGGTCCTCCAATGCGATAGATGCCTATTTCAGAGCTGGATTCGCATCTGACAAGAATGTATCTCGCCAGATGGGTTTTTAGCGGTATCTATCCGTTTTACCAACCATCTTTCTGTTGATTTACAACAAATTCGGTAGTAAAAGGGAGTTTTACTGAGGTTTGTTGTAATCAATAAAAGTGGTTGGTTGACTAATTTTTTGAATTTTCACTTTCAAAAAATTTACATTACTTGTGATATGGAACAATTATTATCAATTACTTCGAGAAAGGTGATAGAATCACTTTCTCTCAAAGAATTGAAAAGTACCCACCCTCCTCCCAATCCACCTCTGAAATAAACAAACATAGTTGTGGCTTTCCACAACTCCCTCACCTTTGGGTGGGATGCCTCATGTCTCAACTTGGGATGCCTTATTGCATTGCAATAGGATGCCTCACTTTAGTGGGATGCTCTTTGAACTGAATTCAGTCCAAAGGATGCCTTGGCCATTTGAGCTGGGATGCCTCAATACATTGGGATGCCTTATGATTTTAATCATGGGATGCCTTATTGCATCGCAATAGGATGCCTCACTTTAGTGGGATGCTCTTTGAACTGATTTCAGTCCAAAGGATGCTTCATGGTTACCATGGGATGTTTAATCAGCGCACGCTTAATAGTGTCATCCTGTATGAGACTGATGCATATGTTTGTTGCATCTATTTGTGTTGTACTCTTGCTGAATTACAGGATAGAAAAGGTAATGTAAATCTTATTTATTCAACTATTAGACATGCGCACGTACACGCGGCGAAGAATAAATAATCCGTTTTACCAACCATCTTTCTGTTGATTTACAACAAACTTTTATTTAAATAATAAATCAAAATTGTAAGAACACTAGAAAATTAATAATACTCTACAAATGATTCACTTCGCTTACTCGTTTGATGAGCTTGAAGTGGTACTTTGTGAATATTGTGGTTGCTGACCATAACTGCCTGGATACGTTTGAGGATAACCAGAAGGATAGCCATAACTTGATGGATAGTTGTATCCATAACCAGGATATTGACCATAAGCTCCAGTTTGTGGATATTGCTGACCATAGCCACCCTGTTGAGGATATTGACCATAACCTCCTTGTTGAGGGTATTGGCCATAACCTCCTTGTTGAGGATAGTATTGAGAATAGTAAGGATACTGACCATAACCAGGATATTGCTGTTGTGGATAGCTGTAATCACCTTGTTGAGGATATTGCTGACCATAGGCTCCTTGTTGAGGATATTGTTGTCTATAGCCACCCTGTTGAGGATATTGGCCATAAGCTCCTTGTTGAGGATAATTATAAGGATAAGTTGTTGGATACTGCTGACCATAGGCACCTTGTTGTGGGGTTGGATTTCCTCCAGACTGGAATTGTTGTTGAGGTTGCTGTCCAGTATTGGCTGCAGGTGTCGCTGCAGGAGTTGGCTGTGGAGCTACAGCAGTGGCTGGCAAAGGTTGTGGTTGTGGTGTATTTGTAATAGGCAAAGGTTGTGGTCGCACGCCTTGAGCTGGTTGTTGCTGTTGAAGAGGAGGAACTCCTTGCTGTGGAGGAGGAATCTGTTGAGGTGGTTGTTGCTGTGGAGGAGGAACTCCTTGTTGTGGATATGGTCCTTGTGGTTGACCTCCTTGTTGCTGTTGTTGTTGTTGATTTTCTTGATAATTTCCTCTGAACCTTGCAACAGCAGCATCAATTTTAGCAGCAGTCGTTTGATATGCTTTCCAGTCCTTATTTTGAGATTCAGTAATGAGTTGCTGAGAGAGTGGTACAAGTGTTTCCTTGACAATTTTCCAATCTTCTGGTTGTCCAGCAAATCCTCCAGTTTCTTCATTTTGCAACTGTATGATATTTGACAAAATGGTTCTAGCAGCAGATTCTACCAAGTTACAATCTTTGAAGCCACTATCTCCCCAACAGAATGAACCAAACGAGGTGATCATATTCAATTGCATTTTGATATTATTAATGGCAGTGGATACACGAGACTTGGGCGTGCTTTGTTGTTGTTGTTGTTGTTGCTGTGGTTGTGCACCAGGTTGTCCTTGGGGAGGATACATGCCTTGCTGGGGAGGAGGCATTTGCTGAGGAGGGTATGCTCCATATTGTGGATTTTGCATGACGGGTCTTCCATTGATCACTGAATATTGGCAATTGACAAGAGTCGTTGAAAATAAAACAACACTCAACAACAGGGCAAACAATGCCACTATTAAGACCAGAGGTTTGCTCATTTGATTAGTGACAGTGTGATGGTATTTTTCTGTGGTATTGTGTTTCCACTTGAAAATAACTGACAAAGTGCGTCCAATCATATGTTAAATCAGTCTCAAGAAAGCAATGATCAAAAAGTATCTTGTTGTCATGAGAAGAAATGGATCATTTCAGAACTCTGCCCAAATATGGAATCCTTACTTGTGCAGTATGTCACTGCAGTTAATTTTTTGCCTGAGCTCTTTTAAGAAATACTCTCCAACCAACTGTAGGACAATTGTGTAAAATATTTAGGGCTATTCGAAGCAGTAGCAAGCCTCGCCAAAGATTTTCGAGAGAAAATGAGAGAGGCAGTCTTATCGTGACTTGGTTCAAAATGGTATTGGAAAGCCAAAAAATAACAATTTTCCAATAGTCTAAATGCAAGGTGATCGTTGTGACTGCAGGCAGTTGGATGTTGTGACATAACATGATGGCAAGTTTACAAATCATCTTCATCATCGTCAACGTCCTGGTCATCTGTAAGAACTGCCTTGTCATAACCAAAGATGTTCTTGAACTGCTCATAGATCACAAAATGTAATGCCATACCAGGAACTACTTTGAAGATATTCAGCTTCCATCCATTAAATAAGGCTCTGAAACCTTCTTCCCGTACAATTCTTGAGAATGCATGGAATGTATTTCTGTACATGGGTCTTCCGTCTTGAGTGAACAATGGTTCAAGGTGGCTATTAGAAACAGCTTCATTGACCTTAATACCATTAGTACCGTATCGACTTATACCACTTGTATACTCATCTGCCTCTAATTTTATAAGAGACCGAGTTGGAATACTACTATTAACAATATCTCCATGAGGTATGACTGCTGCAGAATGCATGGAAGGCATACATCCCAGTAATTGTCTTCGTCTTCGAATGGTATCTGCAGGGTACGAAATTGTTTTTCCAATAAATGCACTCACGGTTCCATAGCAAAGCTTTAAACCCAAATCCAGTGTACTTCCTTTCTCAATGGTTCCGTAGGTTTCTTCAAATTTCTTGTGAATGGTGCTTTTCAAATACTCGTAAAAGCTTAATGAACAAGTAACGTAGGGAATTACTCCAACCAATGACGTTCCCATTCCTTTCCATAATGCAAATATACCTTCATTTCGAATCAACTCTCTTAGACATCGAATGGAGGTGCCCATATAAGGATACCAATTGGCTTTGAAGTGATACTTGCTGTAATACGGAACGACAGTGAGTCGTGTTCTAAGTAAGTCTAAAGGATACGCAAACATGGTAAGATTAAAGCCACTCATGAGTGCAGAGGAAAAGATGAGAAGAAAGTCTTTTTCACTCTGTGGAATTGCACATAAAAAGGGAGTACAACTAAAGATAAATGAGCTCAAATGTCTGTAAATGTCAAAGAAAGCAAATTTCATAAAGCTGTGTGATTACAAAATGAATGTATCAATACCAATACTCAACAGCCGAAAGACTTACCTGGTAGGAATAACCCTCAAAACATTCAACCCATTTCCTCTAAATAAGGCAGAAAATCCTTCATTCTCTATTACATGTTTGATATAACCACTTAATCCTCTCTTCCTCACAAGTGTATGAACATCCATGCTCGCAGTAGATGTTCCTATTAATGCATAAGTGATAATCTCTGTTGAGGATGTTTGAAGTCTCACTGATCGTTTTAAATGCCTACATGTTTGTAATTCCTGAAGTCAAGTATTTCATCATCTTGATGATTCCGAGCGAAAATATAACGAACAACTGGTACATACAATTTTAAGTCGCTCAATGGGAGCAAAGATAGTTTTGATGAGTATTGAGCTACATCCTCCATAAAGAACAATTCTCAATTTTTCGGTATGCCTTTGATCGAAAAAGTTCAAAGCGCCTCTCAACCCTTGCAGTGCTTTGGTTTTGTCATCTTTGTTTTGCAAAAATTCCGAAATTCGTTTCTCATCTCTTATTTTAAACTATTGTGATGATATTGATGTTGTTATCCATAATCCCGATATTTTCAGCAATTAATTTCATCATCACATAATTTATAAAACACAATCAAAGTTTATTTCCGACACATACCCACTCTTTAAAAACCATGAACTAGTAGATAATGAAAACAGTGCAAAATATCAACAACAACAAAATCGAATGTGCCGATAATTAAATTGGATCTTTTGAGGTATTTTTTAAATTGGGAATTTCTGTTATCGCTCATTCTTTCTTCAAGCTCATGTGTTTTACAGCATTTGCCATCTTGTTACTCCTACATCCCGTTTACTTTTGTCAGTTCAATGGCAACCAAACTAGTTGTAGTGCAACGTGCTCCAATATCTGTAAAGCATGTTCTACAGTACATCACGGAATTCACACCTGCAAATTTCACCCACGAGTTTTCGAGTGGAAGCTCCTCATCTCCATGAATTTGCCATCAAACTCCGCGAGCACAAATTATATTTCAAAGTCCGTGCTTGAATTTCTTCAAGTCGCAGCTAGCACAAAGATTCTCGCTCTCGAACAATTTAAAAAAAATTAGTTTGATTCACAATTGACCCATTTGCGCAATCAAGCAGTTAATTGCTTCAAATTTATTATTAACCAATACCCCACCTGCTGAACCCCTTACCTCCGCAATTTATTTCACTGCATTCAAAACTGTCTTCCAAAACCTTCTAGTAACGTTTTCAAAATGATGAGAAGATATTACTACTCAAAGAGTACCATTCTGTTAGTTGCATGTGTGAGCCTTTGCTTGTTGTTTGCTTTGGCATCGGAACGTTTGCGTGTTGAATCCTCTCAATCCATGTTGCCAAACAACAATAACAAGAAGAATTGTTCAGGCATTGCCCGTAATGCCGCTGTTGAGCTTCATGAAGTTACAACAACTCCCGAACAACAACAACAACAAAACTCTACCACCTCCCTTCAACAACAAAAAGTTGAGAATCCTCGCCAAATGCTCGTTACTGGATCAGCTGGTTTCATTGGATATCATCTTGCATTGAAATTGGCAACTGAAGAATTCAACTATTGGAGCCAGCTCATGGATGATGGTAAATACTCACCTCATCATGACCATAGTAGTGTCATTATAGGTATCGACAACTTTAATGACTATTACTCGACTGATTTAAAGTACATGAGAAGAAGAATGTTACAAGATGCCATTGCTAACTTCAATGAGAAACTTTCCCACAAAGCATTGTCGTCTTCTAATTTTGGAGAGTCATCAGAAGACAAACCCAATGCTTCAAATTTCATCCATTTTGAACTTATTGAGGGTGATGTTTGTAATTCTACCTTGTTACAATCCATTTTTGCTCGTTTTAAATTTACTCATATCCTTCACATGGCAGCTCAAGCTGGTGTTCGATATTCCATTGAGAATCCACAAACTTATATTCGAAATAACATCTTGTGCCAAATTGAATTACTTGAAGTGGCTGTCAAGTATCAAAAAGCCGAACCTCCTGTATTTATTTATGCCTCCTCTAGCTCTGTTTATGGAAATATTCAAGAGTTTGATCCTTCTCCTTTCCATGAAGGAATGAATGTAAATAAGCCTTCTAACGTTTATAGTGCATCTAAAATTGCTCAAGAACTCTTTGCTGAAACATATAATTACTTGTACAATGTACCTGTGATTGGTCTTCGTTTTTTCACAGTCTATGGTGAAGCAGGAAGACTTGATATGGCTCTTTTCAAATGGGTCGATCAAATTGTGAAGGGACAACCTATCACCTTGTACACGACTGATAATAATAAGGAATTGATGAGAGATTTTACCTATGTTGAAGATATTGTTCATGGTATTGTGAATTCAATGAAATATGGAGAACGTGTGAGAAGAGAAGAAGGACGTGCTGTTCATGATGTTTTCAATTTGGGAAACAACAAACCAGAACGAGTGGTTGACTTGATTAAATACATTGAGACAGCATTGGATAAGAAAGCCATTATCACACTTTCTAAAAAGCCACCCACAGACATGACCATGACCTATGCAGATATAACCCACAGTCAAAAGTTATTGAACTATGAACCAAAGACCAAGCTCCAAGATGGAGTTCAAAAGTTTGTCAAATGGTATCTCGACAATTATCACTTCTCAAAGAAGAGTGGAACTGATAATGTGATTGTTACCACCTACTTTGTTACTAAGGGTCATCCTGAAAGAGATGAACACTATGGCGACTCGTGTTTTGAGCCCATGAAAGAGTGGTATGACTCGGTTCACAAACACAATTTGAGAGCAGTCATTTTCTATGATGATGCCAAACTCTATGAGAAGTGTCGATTCGACAAATTGACCACCTACAATGTGAAATTTGAACTCGTTCAACTCGGAAATCGTTCCACCAACGACGAAAGATTCTTTGTGTATGAACAATACTTGAAGCGAGCTCAACAAAGATCCACTCCAGGTCTCAATCTGGTACCAAAGAGAATTCTCATGACTGATCTTTTTGACATTCGATTCAATAGAGATCCATTCGAATACATGGCCTCCTTCGACAAACCATCAGGTCCAACTCAACAAGACCCTTGTCCTCACTCAGCCCATTGTATGAGTGACAAACTTTTTATTGGTTCCGAACCCACAACTATTCGTTCCTCAGTATGGGCTCAACAAAAACTTGCTCAATGTGGAATCACCATTGATCCAGTGAGAGGAACCTTTTATTACAACACTTCCCTTCCAGATCCATTCACCACTCTTTCTAATAAGGAAACTTCTTTAGATTCCATTCTCCTCAATCCAGGAATTGTCGGTGGCTCAAGCGAAACCATCTTTCGCTTGTTGTCCATTTACAATGAATTTCTAAGAGCCTCTCCTCTTCATGCCAACTGTAACACTCCTGTTTTTAACATGCTCATGTATCAACATGCTGAATTTCAAAACCATCAATTCCAAAGTGAGCAAGAAGATGACAACATGACAACAGAAGCATCTCATGACCATTTGCGTTACATCACAGGTCAACCCTTGCATACTGTGTTTAAGGAGTTTGACCTCTCTGACACCTTTTACATTAAACACAAATAATAATCAAAAGAGTTGAATTCCTATCTGCTCGTCTCTGACTTGTAATATACGTACACACTGGCAATAAAAATCTTTGGTTCCTCATCAATTTTTCCTCAACACGTGTGAACCTGACAATATCCTTCTGCCAAAATATATTTCTGACTCGGGCCACCGTCTTCGGAATTTGCATCGGAAGGTATTTAAAATAGTTACAAAAACAAATTCCAATCCCGAAGCCAGGACTTGGTAAAAATCGAAAAAAAAATTCTCAAAACAACCTTCAGCTTAACACACTCACCCGATTCAGCTGCTGTTTGTCATCATCGAATTCCGAGAGTTTTTAAATACAAAACAACAACAACAACATCTTTTAGGTCTTTGTACAGCTAGTATTAATAATGCCAGTTCTTGGAATTGATTTGGGCGCTCAAAATTGTGTGGTTGGTGTTGCAGGACGAGGAGGAATTGATATTGTTACCAATGAATACTCCCGAAGATATACTCCAGTTTATGTTTCATTCTCTGAGAATGAACGATTGATTGGTGAGAGTGGTATGACTGCTCAGATTAGTCATTACCAAAGAACCATTTCTCTCATTAAACGATTCATTGGATTGAAGTACAGTCAACTTACACCAGAAGTCTTGCAAGCCAATACCTCTGTTCCTATCATTAAAGGACCTAATGATGAAATTTTGTTTAAGATTGAAGGATACAAACTCTCCGACAATGACACTGAATCAAAACTTCTCGATCCTATTCAATTGTTGGGTATGCTTTTCGGTAAACTTTTGGATGATGTTGAAAAATCACTTGGTATTCGTGAATCTGACTGTGTTGTTACCGTTCCATGCTACTTTAACGAAATTCAAAGACGTGATATTGTAAAAGCAGCCGAAATTGCTGGTTTGAATGTTATTCGTGTAATGCACGATGTCACTGCCGCTGCTTTAAGCTATGGTATTTACAAGGATTTCACAGATGAGCCACAATATATTGCGTTTGTTGATGTTGGTCACCATGATACCTCTGTCTATGTTATTGAATTCAAAAAGTCTCAATTGCGAGTTGTTTCTTGTGCAAGCGATCCTCATTTGGGAGCCTATGCTTTTGAAAAGGCATTGTTTGATTACTTTGTTGAAGAAATTAAGAAAAAGTACAACATGGATGTCACTACAAATCCAAAGGCTACTATTCGATTGGCAAGAGAATGTGAAAAGTTAAAGAAATTCTTGAGTGCTAACCCTGTCTCGAATTTGAGAATTGAATGTCTCATGAATGAAAAGGATGTCTCATTCCAAATGAAGAAGGATGAATTTTTACAATTGATTCAACCAGTATTTGCTAGATTTGAAGCTCCAATTGCAAAGGCCATGCAAGCTGCTCAATTAACATCCGACAAGCTCGCCACTGTTGAATTGTTGGGAGGTGCTTCATACATTCCATTCGTCAGAGAAGCTTTGGCTAAAATTTTCGGAAAGGATATTCAATCAACCTTGAATACTACAGAATCTGTTGCTAAGGGTGCTGCCATTCAAGCTGCCATGATCAGTCCCAAGTTCACTCTCGCTCGTGAATTTAATGTGGTCGATGCTGTGTATCATCCAGTGAATTTGGGTTGGATTCCAGCTGAGAATGAAGGAGACAAGATGGTTGACGACAGTGATGAATCTGTTCTTTCGGTCTTGAAACAATCCGCACTTTTCAAACAGTTTGAAGGTACACCATCCTCAAAGATGCTTACATTCAACAAGAGTAAGCCATTCGATCTCTACACAGTGTACGGAGATGAATCTCTCCTCACTCCTGGAACAAGCCCAATCATGGCCAAGTTCACAATTACTGATCTTCCACAACGTTCTGAACCACTCAAGATTAAGGTCAAGATGAGACACAACTTGTTAGGATTGGTTGAAGTTCAAGAAGCATCTGCTTCAGAAGAGATTGAAGTTGAAGAGGAGGAACCAATTCCAAAGGAAGAATTAGAGCAACAACAAAACAAGATGGATACATCAAGCGAAGAAACAAAGCCAGCAGAACAACAACCAACAGAAGAAAAGAAGGAAGAAAAGCCAAAGACCAGACTTGTGAAAAAGAAGAAGACTGTCAAGCACAACTTGAAAGTTCTATCCACTGTTCCAGGTATTACCCATGAGGCACTTAAAAAGTATCAATCCATTGAACAAACCATGAGAAATCGTGACTTTGAAGTTCGTACCACTGCTGAAGCCAAGAACAGTGTCGAAAGTTTTTGTTATGCCACTAAGGACAGATTATATGAAGGTGGTGATTTGTATGAATTTGTGAATGACCAAGACAGGGACAACTTTATGAACTTGTTGGATGAAACTGAAAGCTGGTTATATGGAGAAGGTGAAAATACTACCAAATCTGTCTATCAACAAAAACTTGTTGAATTGAAGAAGGTTGGTGACAGAATTGAAAACAGATTGAAAGAATTTGAACAACGACCAACAGCAGTCCAACAATTACAAGATACCATCAAGGAATATCAAACGTTCCTTGAGAATGCCAACACTGAGCAATACAGCCACATCACTCCTGAAGAAAAGCAAAAAGTGGCAGACAAGGTTACCGAGACTGTAAATTGGCTCAATGAACAACTGTCTCAACAATCAAAGCTCGCCAAGAGTGATGACCCAGTTTTGACAGGAGCCTTCATCGAGAACAGAAAGAAGGATTTGAAGAAGGTTTGTTCTCCTATCGTGACAAAACCAAAGCCAAAGGAAGAACCAAAGAAAGAGGAACCAAAGAAGGAAGAACCACCCAAGACAGAGACTTCCACTCAAGATGCCAAGATGGATGAGTCTCAATAAATAATTTCTAGTATAAGAAGCAATTCTGAAATAGTAGCGTATTGAGAATATTTATTGAAATCCTATCGTATTCATACGCTGAAAAGAGATTTTGGATCTTATTACTGTACTTGTCCTTAAGTTGGAGCAAGTTGGCATTTTCTTGTTTCAATGTTTTGTTCTCCTCCAGCATCTTTTCAATAAATGATGGTTGATATTCTTTCAATATACTCAAACCAAGAGTTGAAAAATCTGGGTTGTGGTCTTTTTCAAGTGATTGTTTCACAATTTTCAAAATTGGAATATATTTCACACAATCTCTTCGAGTTTCAATATCTTTCTGAATCATGGTCATCAAACATCTTCCAAGAATATCATTCACTTTCCATGATGGATCAATGTGTTTGTCCAATTCTTTGTAAAGTGCATGATGTAATTTGGATTCTCCATGTGAAGTTGCAACAACCACATGAAAATAAGATCCATAATCTGAAAAATAATTCCAGTCATCAGCTGTGTCATCTTGAGTTCCATATAAATCTTGATGAAATGTATTTAAACTCCAAAGAACAAGTCTCAATGAACAATTGGTTAACATTCTCATGAACATGCACCCCAAAGAGAACAAATCAAAATTTCGATACTGTGATGTTTTTTTCTTTTGAGACATTGTTGAATTGGTTTTGATCCAGATGAACCTCAGGTGCCATATATAACATTGTTCCAACATTCAAGGTCACACTGTGTCGATATTGAATATTTCGAGAAGCATCCAAATCTATTAATTTAGCCTTTCCATCTTGTGCGAGAATTACATTTTCTGGTTTCAAATCTCTGTGTGAAAAATTCATATCATGCAAAACAGTTACTGCTTTGAGAATATCAATGAAACATTTCAAAATCCAAATCAAATCTTGTTTCTCAAGAAACTTGGATTGAGATTCTGTTTGGATATATTTCAAAATCTTTTTAGCATGAATGGATTGAATCTCTTCAATGTCCTTTTCCCATTTCCATGATCATATATGAGTAACACAAGCCATTATTCCATTCCAAAGCCTCACATTTAATGCACCCCATCACATATCCTTTCACACGAGAATCTTTTAACACTTTAATTGTTCGTCTATTCGTTGACGATCAGTGGTTGATTCAAAAGAGATTTTACAAGCGACCATTCCATGATTCCAATGCAAACATCTCAATACAGCTCCTTGTGCACCCATTCCCAACAGTGAAATGAATCGTTTTGAATTGAGGTTGAAATTTTGCGATTTGACAACATGGCCGAATTCTCCATGCCGCGTTTGGAAAGATTTTGAATTGTCAATGGATGTGAGGTGAGGAAATTCGTTCATTGTTTTCCAATCATTCAAAAATGTTATTATAAAATCAATACATGATAATTTCTCAATTGGAAAATCATGTATCATGTTAATCTCAACTTTGAGTTGTTAAAAGGAGTTGGTTTGAGAATGTGTGTAAATAATGGTCTCAAAATTATGAAATAGTATCACTAAATAAGCAATAATCAGTGGTGTGTTGAATGGTTCCATGATCATCAACAGATGCATTCACCTCGATTTGATGAAACGTTACGAAATTGTGAAATAATTTCATCATTGCACATTCGATCACCATTTCTTTAGGATAACAGGATTTCAAGCAATTCCATGCTTGGCCTTTTCAACAGTTCCAAATAATTCTTCTTGAATGTACTTGTTGACGCTATTGTCTTCATTTGAATTAATTTCCAACAACCAATCCACATTACTTTTCAATTCTTCTGAAGCATATCTAGGTGTTAATCCATCTTGTTTCACTGCTTCCAACACAATCTCTCTCTTATAATTTGTGTTTGTATATTGAATCCTACTTGTGAGAACCCTTCCTAATAAATTGAAAGGCACAAAGAAGAAACAAGACCTCATCTCAAGATGAATCTCAATTTCCCAAATGCCTTTCGTTCAATTTTGAATTTGTGAATTTTAATATTTAAAAAAAAATGCTTTCAGAAGGTGGTAGTTATGATCACGAACACCTCCGGAACGATGAACAAGTATTATTTTGTGGATCCTCAGAGAAAATTGCATCCATCGCACCCACTAATCCAAAAGCCTTTACTCCCATCTCTTTATCTCATTCAAATTTTGTAAAACCAGAGTTACCAAGTCCGATCCATGACAATTGTAAAGCTACATTAAATGTTTCATACATGATCAGTGGTGGATGTGGTGCTTATTCAAATTATTATACACTCATATTTGTGGTTGGAACTGAATCTAGAGAGTTCTATCTCATACGGCACGGTCCTCTTGTTTATAAATTGACTTTTAAAGAATTATTGAGTGATGACGATTCCGATCTCAATAACATGTCCAGCCATGTCAGGAATTCATCCACAACTACTGAAGAAATCTTTGAAGACTTATCTTTGTACAAGGGATCCAAAGAAATGAAGCAAGTCGTGTGTTGTAACTCGACCCATGTATTGTTTGAGATGTGGGATGGAGCCTTGTTTTTGTTTTCTGTGGCCAAACAGAGATTGCGAAGATTCCATACATGTATGAATTCGGGACTTGCAAAATTCATAAATTGTGGACACTTGTCGCAAACCATGATTGTATGCAAGAGAAATTTACAAGATTATGTGATATTGGTAAATACAGAATATGATCAAGAGATTTATATCAAATTGCAAATGCAAGGATCACGCCAAATCAAATTTGCTTCTGGATATTGTAGAGAAGCTCATGTGTTTGTGATGCAAGACAACAAATTTTATTGTTACATTTGGAAAACACCAAACAAGGGAAGTACCATGGCCGATGGATTTGGTAAGGAATTTTTCAAGATGTTATACTTTGAGACACCTTTTGAGAAAACGATTCCAGTGGTTCAACTTGCTTGTGGTTATGCACACGTTGTGCTGTTGTTACAAAATGGAAGAGTGTTCACTCGAGTAAGTATGAAAGGGACCAATTTATTGATTATATCGACACATGAACTTGAACTGGTTCATGAAATAATATAGGGCCTTAATAATTTTCAACAGGGAGGAACTTCCGTAGGCAAACTGGACAAGGAGTTTTTTGAAGTTCAACTGGATTGTCCAGTACGGTCGATAAGCTGTGGATCCATTTGCACCGGTCTAGAAACAGAACGAGAATTTATATTTTTGGGGCAAATTGGTCATGAATTTGAGAAGTTGGAAGATGCTAGTTACCAAAGATTTTCCTCAGTTGTTGACAATGGAAATGTGCATGTTGTTCCAAAATCAGAAAATGAGCAGGCGATAGTAATGGGCCCTTGGCATGCTGTTATCTATCGCAAGCGAATAGGATATTCCAAAGACTTGAGATCCTTTTTTGAAAAATTAAAGGAAAGGATTGCAAACAACAGCCAGAGCAATTTATATGACATGGTTATTTGGCATTAATGCCAAATTAATTTGGTAAGGCAATGTATGAAAATTGATCTTGTGTGACATGAATACAAAAATAATTTATTCATCTGCTTGGTCTTCATTCTCCTGGTCATTTGCTTCTTTCTTTTGAGGTATAAATCGTTTCATGTCTTCAATGCTTGGATCGGTTTGCTGGGTGAGAACAATTTGATGATATTCATCCTGTACAGGCAAAATGAATTGAGGTGTAAATACTTCTCCGCCTGTTTTGATTCCATATCCAATGTAAATATTAGCAAATACCATGTCTTTCGCATACCTCTTATAGCCCACACAATGAGCTCCTTGCCATATCCTGCTTGACAAAGCCACCACTTCATTGTCGACAAGCATACCACACGTGCGCACGGTCCAATTTTCTTCAGAAATGCTTGAGAGAGGTTTGGGAATTCGTTCTACCGTTTTTTTCATCTCTTCAAAGTCTGGCTTTTCTTTTTCCTCGTCCGTCCAGTACTGTGTACATCTTCCTTGCTTGGAAAGAATAGTTGGTAACAGATTGGACCAGTTGATGACTTGTGAAATGTCCAAATTTTTGATCTTTTCTTCGAATTCTTCATCCTTTTCAATGGCAGGCAGCTCATCCTTGGCTAACGTGAAATTGGGAGGTAATTTCAGCTCCTCCTGCTCGCTTTCATCCTCTTCTGCGCTCGATTTCATTCTTCCTTTGGAACCAGGATGGTAGAGTGAGAAATTCGAGCAATTTGACTTCTCAACAAGTCAATTTCTTTTCCCTTGAATGGTGGATGAGAAAGAACATCGCTTTCGAGCTTGCCTGTAAAGAATTTCTTGATTTTTCTGCTCCTGATAATAAATTCTGGCTTGGCATCTGGCAATTGTGTCCACATGTCTGCTTCACATCCACTGTATTCGAAACATAGTATACATATTTGTTGGTTCCTTCAACCTCATGCGGAATGCCTTCAATTTTCTTTGCTTCTTCTCCTGTTTCATTTTCTGCTTCTTCCTTGGTTTGTTCGGTTTCTAAAATGTAGTAATTCTTCTCAATTCCAAGAATTTTTCCAAAGAATCGAATTGAGTTGATTTTCTTGTTGGATGACACCAGAGATTTCATGGAAACCAATACTTGAAAAAGTTCTAACTCTCCAAGGCCAATACCTGCATCTCGGAAAAGCTTTCCTTCATACAACAAGTCTGACATTTTCAGATCGTCGGCTTCTTCTTCCTCAGTACCTTCTTCTTGCTCTCCTCCATCTTCATCGGAAATTGGTTTCTTTGCCTTCACTGGGGATTTACTAGCTCTAAATATTTACGTGCCCGTTGAGTATCCTTTTCCAAAATATTGTCATCGTCAATTCCCATCCATGGTTTATACAATTTTGTTAAACGTTCATAGGCCGATCGTTCCTTTGGAGGTACAAATGACCCGTGTTTGATTAAATTGCAAAATTGTTCAATCATTCCGTAAGGATTTTTTGGTTTCTCTTCCAACAACTTGACAATAACTTCTGAAAAGAAATCCTCAATAGTCATGGGATCTTTCCCTTCTTCGGGGTTTCCCAGATCTTTGCATTTGACCGTTGATACTATTGATGAAGACATTTCAAATGATGATGAAAAGGTCCAGAAATCGTTATTTTTTTTTAAAATTTTTGTAAATATTTTTGGCGCGTCAAAAGTCGATTAATGCTGTGACAGCACACAAACGTCTGCCACTTGCTGCTGATTGACTAATTTGAATAGACATGCTTTAAAGCGAAGGACTTCTTTGGTTTGTTGCCAATCCTGACCCAACATGACCATGGTAAAATCACAACCTGGGGCAAGAATTAATAATTTCCATGAAGGATTGTCTTTGAGAAGATTGTTGATAGATGTCACAGGTGAATCCTTCACAGATCCGTTGCTTGTAACGCCTATTGCATATCATTATTTGAACCAGTCGCTGTAAGAGTTCTCGTTTGTGGATAATACGTAAAATGAGAACAAAAAGATGGATAGACATCGCATTCAAAGGGATACCTGGTGCTACCATCAATAATGGTTTGTTTCAAATTCACAGATTTAAAGCTTACACCTCCAACAGAGCTCGAATTTAGGTGCACAATTTCTTGACCAAGAAATTCAGAATTGGGTTTGGCACGCGACGAATGTTCTCTAATGTACAATGATCCATCCGCGACTGTGTAAACAACGCCACTTTTTTCCATCCTTACTTCTCTCAGGGCTTGTCCTGTTGCTTTCAAAACATCCACATGAGAAATATTGCTCGAAATATAATAAATATCATTGTTATCAACCACGACCATAAATACATGATCGCCACTTCCTAAATGTGTGAATTTTTGATTTGGACCCAATTTTGTAATTGCTGAAGAAACATTGTGAAATACACCAATATTCGAGTTAGATATTGTGCTGTATGAGCAATATCCTGAAAAGTATACATTCTTCTGATCAGCTGAGATGAATGCAGAATGAAACCATCCAGTACTGAACATGTAGGGCTGATACACTTGTAGGTTTGTTGAGCCGTTTTTCTCGGAACAATCATCATCTGCTTTAAATAAACATGGTTTTGGTGTTTTGATGTCGTCTTTTTGTCCAACAGCACATTGATCGTAACTGAACGATCGTTGGTTTCAATCGAATTCGTTCACACAAACACTTACTCATTCCGACCAAAAGCAAATACTTGTCCATCCATTGCTAAAAAGTTCATCAAATTCAATAATCATAACAATCATAATATAGCGCATATAAGAGAAAGGTTTTTCATGATGATGAGATGTGGATCGTTGGCAAAATGAAACTCACTTTCAAACACAACATGAGATCTTCCACATGAGATCTTCCGAACGGAATCATGATCTTGTATGACTTCAACAAGATGAAAATTTCCATCATTAAAAGTGTGTCCGCATTGATGTTTCGTAGTTAATCCCGTACTCTTTTCCGTCATGAAATTTATATCAATAATTTGATTCATCATAGTTCAATTAATTTTGGATTGATTGAAAATTGATCGATTGGCGTTCCACCTACATAAATTTTTCTCATTTTTTTTTATTTGAAAACGAGAAAGCATGAGCTGCACGAGGTTTCATCATAGCGTGACTTACAGCTCAATCAATTCTTTTTTAGCATCTTGTTTAGGTTTCTTAGCTGCTTGTGAGTGATAGTGTTGTTTTGATAGAATTTGAGACAGAATACGCTTCTTTTCTCTCAACTCATTCTCGTCAGTGTCCTTAGTGATGGAGTTAATGGTAGAATAAAATTCTTGTTGAGTGGAAATGAAGGTATCAATAATTTTCTCGTCACGCTCCAACTCATTGTCATTATGTTCAATCATTTTCTCCAGAGCTTTGGTTAATTTTTGCATGTGTGCACAATTATCATATTCTCCATCTTGTTCAATTTTCCCAAAGAAAATTTCTTGAATATATGCATTATTTCTCAAATATCGTTCCAGAGCTTGCTTATAAACAGTTTCATCCCATGTCTCGGAAATGGTAAGTCCATTTTGTTGTGCAGCAGGAGCATTCATCTTGGATGTGGCACTCAACATTGAGAAATCTTCACTTCCCAAATCCAAATTTGACGTTGATGAATTGGCAATATTTTGTTTCACATCTTCAACGGCTTGATTCACATAATGATTTGGATTTAAAAGCCACGAAGTTTCCTGTTGATATGAAGCCATTGTTGGTGCTCCACCAATCGGAGAAAACATTCCAATCATTGGTGAGAAGGGTTGAGAAATAAAGCCTGGTGTAAATGGTGAAAGTAAATTGCTGCTGCTACTGCTTCCAAAGCGAGGAGTTGCAGGTGTACTAAATATGGCACTGCTCGAGGAAGTTGGACTTGTACTACCGGCAGCTGCAGTGCTGCTAGATGCAGTAGTATCCTTCTTCTTCTTACGGGATCTACTCGACTTTTTCTGTTCTTTTGCAAGACTCTTCATGAATTTCTTCAAATCATCTTCGTCTTCGTGAGGAGCCACCTCTTCATCACTGTCATCATCAGCACTCGACTCTCGTTTGGTTCCTACCACCGGAGCAATACCTTCTTCTTGGCAAAGCTCGTGATAATTGGATGTTCTTCTCAATTCAAGTTCCAACTCTTCATCGTCTTCAATGACCTTTCCCTTGATCAATCCGTTCTCTATGAGTTGATTCCAAGTACCGAAATACAATGGTTGATACTTGCTAAGCTCATCATAAATAAGTGGACAACATTTTCGAAAATGATTCTTAAAGTTGGTACCGAAATTACCAACAGCACGATCACACATGGGACATACTCGGTACGTTGTAGTTTTTCTTTTTGATTTTGTGGATCCCGATTGAGACTCTGTGTTGATGTATCTGATGATGCTGCTGTCCGTATCTTGAATAATCCGTTCTAAAATTTGTTTTATTTGTTCATCGGTCAAGTCCTCATCCGCTGACTTTTTCTTTTTGCTCATTTTTTTTACACCTTTCCAGAAGTGTTTGATGCTCTAATGTTCTTCAGTCTCGAGGATTGGAAAGTGAAACAAGCCATGAATGAAACTGAATGTTTCTGCACAATGAATGGATATCAAGCATGACATATATCATGATGATGATGAACTCATCGTATCACCAGCTATTTGTTTGTTCCTTAATTCTTGTCTTTTTTGATCAATTTCTCGGGTCAGTTCTAAATATTCCTCCCAAACACAATTTTGACATCCGTTTCCACAACAAATGCTTGTATATTCCTCCATATCGGGAACTAACTTTTCTAATGATTCTAAAGAATGAGATTGATGAATTTTGAAATGAGTTCGGCTTTGTTTTCATATCTATTTTTGATGGTAGTATGGTAAGAGCAACTGTTATTATCATTGACCTTCTTCAATGACATCATTGTTGGCATGGAGGCTGAGATATGAAAGTATTGCCTGTAATGCCATAAATTTACATTCCGAAATTTAGATTGAAAAATAATTTTGAAGGACTATTCCGAATTGAATTCATATTATTCTAATTATTCTGATGAAAAAGTATGGTTATTGATGCAATTGTTGAGACATGAGTATTTTTTTTAAATATTAAAATTGATTGAGTATAATTTATTATATTTAAATATTAAATACGTACATACCAAGGAACGGACTCTATCAACATTAATCATATAAAAACAACCACTAGTTGGAAATAGCAGGTGGAAATTTGCTTTAATAAATTCCGAACATTCGACAAATTAAAAAATGCTTTCACAACAACATAGGGGCTCATTACTGAAATTTTCATCATCACTCTCCGGAAGAGTCATGAACGAAGTGCAACACCGACAACCACTCGTTCATGGAAATGTATTCTTTGTAAACAGTATAAAACAACAACTAGCCTTGTTTCATAGAATCAATCATAATAATGGCACAACAATGAATCACATTAAAGGAGCATTAAATGAACCTAATCATATGATTCAAAAACATGTTTCAAAATCATCATCGGGATTTCATATTGTTTCTAGAAATTTTCATTATTCGTTATGGACGAGAAAAGAACAAGACTCTAAATTTACTCTCACCGATTATTCTGACAATGATCCCGATCTTCAAAAACCAACATTTTCTGGAAAGGTCTCCAAGAATTATGTGCCTTTCCATGCAAGGCCAGGAGGTATACCACCAGAATTACGTGCTGTACGAAAGCAAAAAGAGGAAAATCCAACTAGAGGTATGGCCAAAACCGTGGGTCTTTCTGTTCTTGCAGTATTTATTCTCTATTTCATTGCTTCTAATCAATTTACACAAACCACAATGAAGGAAGATGTACTTAGAAAAACTGCTGTCGTTTTTAGGAGAAGAATTATGGAACTGCAAGTCACGAGAGGAGCTATCGAAAAGCAACAAGTGGATGCAATCATAATTCCAAACGATGACACACTTTCAAATAGTCATGGAGTTGCAGAACGAGTAGCTACTGTTGCTGGCCGTAATTATAATGCAGAATGTGCTGCAAATTTACAGAAAAATCAAGGATCTCTGAAACCCGAGCAAGTGATTGCAACATCAACAGGAGGAGTAGATGCATCATTAACATGTAAAAATGTCATTCATGTAGTGCCTCCAACATGGAGTGGAGGAAAAAAGAATGAAGATTTGCAACTCGAACGCACAATATTTGCTGCACTTGCCAAGGCTGATGAATTGGAAGCAAAAATTGTCTCCATGCACATGCTCAACAGCTCTAATTTTCCGAAGAGAAGAGCTGCTGAAATTACGATTGACGCAGTTTTGAAATATGCCTACGAAAGAGATGTCGGTCAAAACACTCCTAGCTCACTTCAAGTGGTCAAGTTTGTGAATGATGACGAAGAGTTTAATCAGCAATTACTCGCAGTATGGGATAAAAAGAAGACAAAAGGTCAACTAGTCTAATTCCACACACATGATTCAATACAATCTTTACAAATTTGTCACCGTCTCATTAAGCATATTCTTATAATCCCAATAGAATTTTGGACTATAAAAATCGTTGGCATAATGCGAATGGACTGATAATGCTTTCTCTTTGGACTGTCGACGCTTCTTAATAATTCGCTTATGGACAAGATTCACAACAACACACGACAATAACAAAACGGCTGTCAACAATGCCATCATGGTAATATGGAAAATGAAAACAGCACTTTGAGATAACTTGCTCGCATAAAACAGCATGCTGTAAATCGTGTACAAAATTAAGGCAACCAACAATAATTCCACTAAGGTCACCATGTATCTTCTATGAGCCACATAATCCGATTTAAATCCAAATATACTTCCAAAGGGCTGTCTCACAATATCGTTCTGAATATTCATTTCCACTTCTGAAACATGACTTGTCAATATAGTAGTACTTTCTGAATACTTTGCCGTTTCACCTGTTGTTGGAGCATTACTCGTAATGTAATGGGTTTGTTTCTTGAGTGAGTGTTGCACTCGACGATGTGAATAATTTCGTGCAATCGTAAATCGATCCACAATATACCGTAATGTGAAATACACAAATCCAACCAACAAAATGAAGGGTGAAAATGCGCTAAAGGTCATCATGATTACAAATACAGTAAAAGTGGTTGCATATTGAGATTCGAGAGATAGGGCAGGACCTTCAGCAGATTTTAACTTGTCTTTGGGTTTCACATTTCTGTGAAATGCTTTGAATCCTTTCTTTTTCCAGAAATGACTGGTGCATCGAGTCGTTATTAAATACATGATCAAAGCAACCAATGGAATGACTGTAAATGTTAATCCCCACAAGGTCTTGTTCAATATAAAATTCATAAACAATGATCCATTATCAGCCATAAATAAATTCGAAAAGACCACACTCCAATTGTTGGGTTTGGTAAAAAAGTTCGTCACTCCATCCAATGAAGTCAATACAAGGGTTGGAAAGATGAAAGTGTTGAGCCACAGAAAGATGGTCATTCTTCTCAATAAAGTTCTCTTATACTCGCCATAGGTTTTAAATTTTTCAAATTTTGTTAAAAACACAATGAGCACAGGAATCAGTGCAGAAGTCAACAACAACAAGATGGAAGGCAAATATTGGAAAAAGAAAGCAGCCATTGGTCCTCCAAAGCTCACAATTTGATCAATCACTGCTCGTATTTGAGGGATGGTAAACAATGCATCGACACTTGAAAGGATGGTGACAGGTGTTGTTAAAAATATCAAGATGAGCAACATGAGAATAAAGATGACCATTCGAATGATGACAGGTTTGATCCATGATTGTTCATATCGATCATAGAGTGAATTCCAGTTAATATCAGGTTGTTCGTATTTTGTTGAAAATGCTCTCATGTGAACTTTTCTGACTTTTCCTTCTGAAGCATGTCCTGTGTTGACAGCAGGAAGAGCATTTCGTTCTGATCGAGTCAGAATATATTCAATTTCCTCACCATTCTCATCTCTCACTTTTCTCTTATAGGCTTGAATGTAACCTCCTACAGAAGCGTACTTGAGAGCATTTTTGAAAGCTTCACGCGATGCAAAAACCACATAACCAATACCACTTCCTACAATTGGACTATTCACACGATTGGGATAATTACTGGAATAGTCCAATTCGTCTTCAATCAACATGATTTGATTATAGAGTTCAATGATTTTTCGTTTGGTGTATGAGATGGCATCCACGCGTTGGACAAATTTTCGTTTTTTGTGTGAGTTTTCATCTTCTGAATTTGTGGTATTTCGTAGTGGATGATGCGAGGGTGACGGAGGAGGTCTCATTTCCAAGTCGTCCTTCTTTTCGAGAAAGACCAATTTCTTTGGTCTTTTTTCACTCTTTTTCATTAACCAATTGTAGGCTTCTAAATGTTCCAATTGCTTCTCGAACTTGGTTTGCAACTTGTCTCGTTGTGAATAATTAATGACATGATACGCCGAGACAATTTCTGTATTCTTGGGAGCATTTACATTACGTGAGTATTCACTAAAAATCTTTTGCATGGCTTCCTTAAACAATGCCTTATTTGTGAAATGTTTGGGAATGTTGTGAATTTCGAGAGTGAATGGAGAGACGAGTTGTGAAAAATGTGTTTCATCATGAGGACATCCCAATGCCATGTTTTGAGCCTGTAAATAAAAATCACAACCGGCATAACATCCCAAATAAGGTGAAAAAGAACCATACACACCTTCTTGATCACATCCTCGATAATTAAATGTCTTCAATGCAGGATCATGTAAAAAGAGAAAACCCATCAAAAAGAGCCACAATGCCACTGAAAATATGGTGAGCAAGACATGAACCACTAAAACTCCAGGTAACTTAAGAACTGTGTTAATGGAGGAAATGACTAGGAATTGATCATTAGCTCCAACTTTCAAGCCAGTACTATTGGTCGTGAATTTTTCTCTTTGAATGGGATCCAATTGATTCTGTTGTGAAATATGAATGGGATACAGCAAGACGCTATACAAGAGCAAGAGAATGAGTAGTCCCCACCATAATAATTGATGAAATTTCAAATAGGTTAAAACATCTCGTCCGTAAAATCTTAATACTCGTTTTTCATCTTTTTCAGATTGTGAAAATGGAGAAGTTTTAAAAGTTGATGGCAATGATGACGAGTCGAGTCTTTTTCGTTTTTTCACAATGGTATACATCATTTGGAATGGAGCTTCGAGAAGACTCATCATGATGCGATACAAGAAGATTCCTCTTAATTTCCAATACGACCTTGTGTTCTTTCCAATGTCTTTGACTTCGACATAGCTACAATTGTCATGAAACAAGCTTCGTTCTGTGGCTGGAGGGGTAGATATTGGCAAGGCTGGTTGTGAGGCATCTCCTTGTGCAGCAGAAGTGCTTATTTGTTGATGATTCGTGACATCATTCTTCTTGGTAATAATAACATTCTTGTTTTGAGAGTATTCATGTTCTTCTCGTCGTGAAGAGGCTGAGTAGGCGTCGTTGTCGTCGTCAAATTAGGTGAAATATCATACGCCGTTTTGGGATTAATCTGTGAAGTGGTACGAAATATTTCGCCCTCTCGATTCAAACACTTTTTTAGCAGAATCTTCTTCTTCTTCACATTGAAAATAGTACATCCACGTAAACAACAAAAATATACGAGTGTGAAGACTACGAAAAGAATCAAGTTGATACCAATGGTGACGAACACTCCACCATTGGTAAAGAAGGGGCTTTGTTGCACGTTGGAAACAATGGCAGAGGGTTGATGATATCACTCATGATATATATACGAGTTGTTGTTGTTGCGAATTGTTCTTCTCCTAATTTAGCGAACAATAAAAGACTTGTGTTGTTATGGATGTTCGACTAGAATAATTATTTGAAAATTTCTTACCGATAAAACAAGCAAAGGAAACTTTAAACTCGAGTATAAAAGCACTGTCGCTGAGAGAGAATACACAACTACTATTTCAAACAAATTACACTCATTTTGGAGTAATTTCTGATGTGGTTATGTTTATAGTTGGACATGATTAAAAAAAATTGGTCATTTTCTATTTACACACTTACTGAGCTCAAATACCAAATTTGTAGAATGGTGAAATAAATATTTAACATAATTGTGGAATGAAAATTGTCATGAGTGACTGGTTTGTGCAATTAACGACCATTCCAATGAAATTCAACCAACATAACAAGATCCCATGTCTCATTAAATTGTATGTGAAAAATTCTATGCTAATTCACAAGTTTTTTTGGACGAGAGCTGATTTGTAATGAGGGGTGCCTCTATTCTTGATATGTTCAGACGATGGTTGATGAATGACAATGCCCACTCGGTCAGCACTAGCATTTTCATCCAATCCATAACATCCTTTGCTATAGTCGTATTGAATGACATAGGCAAAAAGTGATCCAGTATCATTGAAAACTCCCACTCCTACTTGTCTTTGATAGGTCTCTGAGGTATAGAGTTTTTGTTTAGAGTCCTTGTCCCAATAAAAAGCCTTCTTATCACCTAAAGATGTGTTTTTAACAATATTTGTCACGTCATCGTTTGTGGTTATCATCGATATCATTGAAATAAGTGTCGCGACAGTACCAAAGTTGAGAATGAATTTCCGTAAATTTTCAATGAGAACATACCTCCAGTGGTTGAAAACGTTCCAAATACAGGATTAAAATCAATGGAATTAGGTGGGAAAACATCTTGAGCAGTTCTGTGACATTTGAAAATGAAATTCGATGAGGCATGAGCACTGTCGATGTGGCTGATTGAACATCTTCCTTCAACTGTACTGTATGCAAAACCAATACGATCTGGGAATAATTTCAAACAATGTTTTTGTGTCTCACTTTTCAAACTACTCTTCCAAGATCTCATAGGAATGTTGGGTTGATGTAAATCAAACAATACAATATTACGTGGTTGACTGGATACAATCATGAGAGGATATTTAACATCCATGGCTGTGATGCAACCATGAAGATTAATCTCCATTAATAAGGCCATATCCTCGTCGGAATCTGTAAGATCCCAAATTTTAACATATCCGTCCCATCCTGCACTAATAATGCATTTTTCTTCTTGCACATAAAAGACATGGTTTACAGCATCTGCATGTGCCCCAATAATTTTGTTCGAAACAGTGAGAATGTTCTTGTTCGAGAGAATTTGCTTGTTTTGATTGTTTGAATAATGAGTAAAGGATTGTTTTTCAGCACATGAGCTTGTGTGTGGTTCATTCACGTCGTTGTCATCCTTACTGACACTACCATCCTCATTCCCAATAAAATCATGAGTTTGATCCATACCAATCTCACCATTCATATCATCGGTGGTTGAGATGGTCATAAAATCTGTTTGGTCTTCCTGAATAAAATTATAGGTCATCATTTGTTGATCATCATAGAATTGAGTCCTGAATTGTGAATGGCAAAATAGGGAGAAGAAGAATTCGAATGGCTATGGTGATGATCATCATGAGTTTTTTGCATTAAATTTCTCTTGTACTTTTTGAGAGCTCGGAATGGAAAATGTTGTCGAATTGTACCATCCGTATTGGCACTATACACAGCTCCAGTTTCTGGATCACAAGCAAAATATAGTACTCCCACTCCATCATCCTCTTCACAAGTATTGGTGGTTCGGAATTGAAAAAGAAAATGTGCTCGTACAAGAGATTGAAAATTGTCTCCTCCATAAATTTTCCAACAACAAATAGTACCATCATAGTGGAGGATAATAAATATTGACAATCTTCGGGTTGTTCCAATAACGCTGTGTGATCACTATTGTGATGATGATCATTCATTATCATCATGGAATCATCCAATGCTAAAACTCGACGATCAAGCCTAACAAATGCAAGATGAGAAATCTCCGAAACTGAAGCAATGGATGCAAAAGTCGGAAACTCCACATGATGTGTGTGTTGATTCGTAGAGGGAAATGTGGTAGGGAAGAGGAATGACATTTTTTGTTCTTTAAACACTTTACAACTTCCACAACTTGGCAGCACAAACAAAAAAAAAAAAAGACTACCCTCCTCAAGACCATTGATCCAATGTCAAGTGTAACAAGCTCACTGAGCTATTCCTATTTAATGCCTTCTTTGCCGTTGTTTGTGGATATTTGAGTCTGTTCGTTAAATTCGGAAAAGATCCATTTCCCTTACTCTAACAAAATCCCGTTCTCCCGTTTGAACCTTATGTTGAATTTCAACACTAAATTTTCAAACATTGTAAATCGGCCGTTGGCTCAAAAATATCAACTCTTCCAACTTTATCAACATCTCCAACTTTAGAAAATTAAACAAATTTAATGCATTAGAAGAATCTCAACGTCGAAAGACAAATTCATCGATCAGCGGCGCTTGGAAACTCCCATAAATTCACTCCGTTTTCAACGCTTCACGAATGAATAACAAATAAAATTAGCTGAAACAACCACGACGGTTGCTTTGAAGAAGAAGCCTCTTGTGAGCCTCTTAACCAACATTTGGTTTTGAGCTCTACTGTTGCAAGTAGTTCTCTCTCTTGGTTTGCATTCACACTCCGAATTGATATATACATTCTTCCCTATCATTCCGATATCGCTCTCAAATATTGAATCTAGTTTTCAAGCACTTCAATTATATTCCTTAACTCTCAAGTCTCAAGGGTTGAGAAGAAAACTTGTGCGTTGAACTCAGTACCATCTTCATTGTTTGTTAGAGAACATTACCCAATTCTTTTGTTAGGAACTTGGATTTCTTTCATTACCTTCTTCCTTTCGTTTTATTATATTGTTACATTCACGACTTATCATCCGACAACAACAACATTACCCATTTCTCCACTCTCTCTCTAGGAATCCATCTATTGATTCATCATCATCATGTTACTCTCTACTTCTTCCATGATCCCTCTCTCAAAGCCCGCAACCCTGTTGTGAATGGTCTTCCTCGTTGTGCTGCTTCTGCTGCTGCAATGATTCATTTGGTTCAAGATCCCAAAGAAAAAGAATCGACTGCTGCTTCGGGCCACCACCGCAACCACCTCATGACGGCCTCGACCACGAATAAGACAAGCAGCCTTTCATCCAACCATAACGACCGTAATACTCTCATGGAAACGATGAAACAACAAACACAAGTAAATGGTGTGGTATCATCACAGAGTACAGTCATTGTTGATGAAGGAGAAACATTGTTTGGAAATGATCATTTGCAACAACAAGAACAACAACAACAACCAGTGAATGAATTCACCTTTGTTGAAACAGCACAAACATTCCCTACGAACATTAATTCCATTCAATTTCTTCAGAGTAATGCCTTGACGAATCAATCTCTTCAGTTGTATTGGATGATGCCCATGATGGTGATTCAAAACTCATCATCAGCATCCTCTCTTGAATCGATGACCGGAGCGGTCGTCCAAGATTCGCCTTCTCTCAAACGGAAACTTTCGGAGTTGGAAACCTCCCGTTCCGCTCCGGCCTCATTTTTGCCAACAACCTCCGAGGCTCACCTTACATCCCAACCACCTCGCTCCAAGATGAGACGATTGAGAAAGCCACAAAAGACAATCACCTTACCACCTATTTCCACTTCCCAACCATCCTCCGCCTCCTCCATTTCCAAACCAACGATGAGTTGTAATGGTTTGCCACCACTTGTTGTTTCTGTGGCCGAGAGTACTTCACAACGATTGGCCACACCTCCTCCACTATTCTCCTCTTGTTCGACTCCAGAAAAGTTTTCCACTCTTCTTGATCAATGTTTTTCAGAAAGCGACGCATCACAGATTAGAGGTCAAGAAAATGATGACATCTTTTTAAAAGAAGAAGAATTGTCAGCATCCTTTGCAGGTTGTGAAAGCACGGATTGTTGTCATTCATCGAACACAATGACGAGCAGTAGTAGTAGTAGTTGTTCTTCCTTCTCTCCTTCTTCGTCGACGAGTGAAGAGACCACGACAGACTTGTTTGAAATGTCAACCACTGTATTAGGTGAGGAAGAATACAGTATGAAAGACAGTGCTTGCTGTGACACTGCCATGACTGCTGATCTTTCCTTAATGATGGAAGGTTTCACACCCACAAGTTCAGCATTGCTTGAGGATAACTTTTTCTCTTCATTGGGCTGTGAAACTAGCGCTGCAAGTACTATTGCAACAACAATCCAATCACAAACCACACAGACATCAACAACATTCTTCACTCCAGCAGGTGTGAACGGAGTTGGAACGATTGCTCTCTTTCCCATTCAAACGGAAGTGACATCACGTCATGTCGGTAATGGCACTGAAACGACTGTTCATCAGCAAGCAAAGAATGTGATCATTCCACCTCCATTGTTTTTGGGAAACAACTCCAATGCTGCAAACACAAGAAACTCCTCTGCAAACACAGAACCAGCAGTTGTGAAAAAGTCATTGCGAAGAATCTCCAGAAACAAACAAAAACTGAATGTTCCTACTGAAGAATCGACTAAGAGTGCCACCCACCAAGAAGCTCCTTCCACAACCACTCCATCCAATGCACACGAATGTAAACAAGAAAACACAACGACGAAGGATCAAAAAGCTCCATCCCCACTCCCTATAAATACCAATGGTGATGTCAAATCAACAACCTCGAAACGATACAAATCACCTGCCTCCAACTCCCAGAAATCCAAATCTCGAGCTGATTCCACAACAAGTTCTTCCTCAACAGTTTTTACATTCTGTGATGGAGGTTATTCAATTCCTTCCGGCAAAAAGGCAAGCCAAAACAGTTCGACTTGCAACAATTTTGCGTCAGAGAAAAACAACTCCAACTCGTCAGCTGGTTGGAAATTTCATCAATTCGATCGACAAAAACAGCCTGTGAGAGATTCAAGTGGTTTTACCTATCACTTTTATCAACCTCATTCCAAAGAGAAAATAGACCACCACGAACATTAAACACTATTTTATCATTTTACAATGACAATTAAGATGTCTCTTGTGAATTGTTCCATAGAGATTGGAATTATTTCTTCTTTACAGTTCTTCTCTTGTAATTAGTGGCGTCAATCAAACCATTGTAGGGCTTTTTTGTGCTACCATGAAAATTATTGACACTCTTAAATGGTGATGTTGTTTGTTCTTGTCGCATTACTTGTATAGGTGAATATCGTTTGGTGTGAGCAGCGTCAGGGAGGGATTTCCATTGTTTGAACTTGTTTGATCTTGCATTCCAAGAACCTTAGCATGTATAACTTTGTTTAAAGAAGTGAACGCCAATGTTGGGCTATTGTCTCTATTTGCATTCAGAGGTGTGGAGGCTTTTTCAATGGCAGTATTTACAAAGGGAGGTTTTGAGTCGATATTTGTAAAAAGGGAAGCATCAATGTCTAGAGTAATGAGGTGATCGCTTTTTCTGACATCACTGGTTGATTCTTTCTTGAAAATGCTTGGAAGTTTAAAAGAGTCTTGCTTTTTCTTCTCTGTTGACATGCTAACTGAACTGCGACAGTAAGTTCCATCCAAATCATATCTAGGCGACGACGGAACGTTTGAAGAAGTTTCCATCATCCGATGATAATTCTTGTCATATACTGGTGCTGACAATGGTTGCAAATGAGCATCATATTTAGGAGGACGTGGAACAGCTTGGTGACTCTTGTTATTATTGTTTGGCGAAACGGATCTGTAAAATCTTTCAAACGCTTCCTTGTTGTCTTGCTGAGGATATGTCAGTGAGGGTATGACAACATCAATGGATTTCTTCTTGTTTGAAATCTCGTATGGAAACACGTATGTTTGAGCGGGTTGAGGAGGTTTTTCGCATTGTCGCTGTGGAATTGGAAGATGCTCTAATCGGATGGTTTCTTGCGCTGTAATTGGTTCTTCTTGATACGTTGAAGTCAAAGGTGGCGGTTCTACATTACTTGATGGAGCTGTTTCTAAGATCTCTGGTTGTGTCGTCGCCAATAGTGTTTCAGGCAAGGGAGCAGATTCAGGAGCTCCTGTTAATTCTTGGTTGGTCACATTTGAGTCTGTTGCTGAGGGACCCTTTTCCTCAATTACCTGCTGCTGTTCTTGCTGTGATTTCTCAAAACTCTTATCTAATTGCATGCCGTTCTTCATGGTTACATAGGGAAATTCAAATGGAGAAGTTGAGATATCAATGGATGATCCTTCTAATGTTAGTTGAGATTTGGATTGTGTTTTTACATCTTGATGTGTCTTTGATTCTTTGATGTTGGGAGTCTTCATTTCATCATTAGCTGTAAGTAACCCCATTGAGGATGATGGATGAATCATGGGGTTCATATTGAAAGAAATGGTTTGGTCTTGAAGCGTGATCTCCTCTTTCAGGGAACGATGTTTATGCAGGTTCGGAAGCTTGGCGTTGGGATGTTTTAAGGAGGAAGCGGAAGCCTCATTTAATATATGCATCTTATTCAGAGCTGATTGTAAGGAATGGACCTCTCTTCCTGATTCTCCAATCACTGAAACATTTGCTTCAGAAGGATTTCGGAAGAATTGAGGTGAGTTACAGAGCGAGGCGCTCACATTGGTAGTTTTGAAACGTTTGGGAGAACTCGAAGAAACTAATTTTGCCAAGGCTGATTGAGAATGCTTTTTTCTGATGATATCTAAATGGGAGGAATTATTTGTGAGATCATCGTGCCCAGGTTTGAGTGCCTGATGATGATCCATGAATATTCTATCCTGGTGAATTTTAATCATTTTGGGAATGATATATTGTGTGGTTGATGCTCGGGATTAGATTGTTGTTTAAGAATGTACAATTGGATTCAGAGTGTGGAAAGTAATGAGAAAATGATCATCATATTGTTGATATTGTTCTTGCCTATTCGTCGTATCTTGAAATTATTTCTCGCTTGCTCATGATGGTGTTTCCCTAGTGAAAAGACCTTGCGGGAGAGGCACACTTTTTTTGTAATAAGGACGTTGGTTGAGAGATCTCTCTCGAGTAGTAAAATATCGAAGGAACGAATCAACCTCAGTTTCCGCAGCTTTGGATTGCATCTACATGATCGTTTCTCACCACATGTTGTCAGTCAATAAGGAGGAGTTATCAACTGGTGTCAAGCTGTAAATTTGCTAAGGGTTAGCTGATAAACTAACAAAAAAAATGATTCAATCTCCACCTTTTACGCGCTCTCAATTGGATGATACTTCCTTGTCATCGGTGAATAGTGGCTACTCTGGCAGAGATGAATTGCCTCCTCCTCCGCCCTGTTGGTGAACAATAATCACACGACGAACGTTGAGAATGGTTCAATAATGCAACAACAACAGTTTCAAGGGCTAAACAACAGCTATCGTCAAATGAATCAGGAAAGCGTTGGGGTAGTGTTGGATTCAAGCCCGAACCGAAACAATAGTAGCACTCTGAATAATAATTACTCGAGAAAACAGTGCAACATGTCTGTTGGGGGAGGGAATGCTCAATCTAACTTCCAAGAAAGAAATAATGAGTCCCGGTTTGGGCTTTCCCTTAATTCAAAGTATTTAGCCATGAATAAGAAGGAAGATGAATTTCATGCAAAAATCAGTCTTGGATCTCATCAAACTGCTTCTCCGAAGGTAGCTCTACCAACAATCAACCAAGAGGTGGGTTATTCTCCATCTAAAAAAGCTCCATCGATCCCCTCTGAGATGGAATTTCCCATTCAACTTCCAAGCAGTTCTTTTTTAAACTCATCTCCCACCAAGCATAACTCTGTTCTGTCGTCCTCAGGACCTGTAAGTCCAATTGCAAAAGATTCAAGATTTTCTGGGAACAATCACTTTGGTTCTCCACATACAAGAACAAACACTCATGCATTTTCACATTCAACATTTAACTCTGCTTTCAGTCCCACAAAACGATCCTTTCAAAAAACCACCACAAGTAGCAGCGTTTCAACTCCCACTAGTTCTTATTTGAGAGCTGCAGCAGAAAAAGGAACTCCTTTGTGTCCCATCCATGAGCTACCTGTGGATATTTTGTGTACAGACTGTTCCGAGTTGATTTGTGCCAAATGTTCACGAACACCGCTCCACAACATTCATTCCTGCAAATCAATTGACGAGTTGGACAGAGACAAAGAGTGCCGAGATGTTCGTGCAAGCATTGAGGTCCTTGATTCAAGAATTACTGATTTGGAAATTAAAAGTGGTTCGTCACATGACATTGAAGCAATACAGCAACTTCATGCAGAGGCAGTAGAGGAAATACGGAAATCTTTCGAGAGAGCACGTGAAATTCTCCATGAACAGGAGCAAGATCTTATTTCTTCTCTCAACTTGATCATTCAATCTCGGATACAACTCAATACTGACATTTCGACAACCAAACAAAAAATCATTCAAGCATCAGCCAAGCTGTACACTTGCAGTACAGGAAAACATTTTCATTTGGTTCAACAGGGGAGTGAAACTTGCCAGCTTTTCTTCATAGTGACATGTACTTTTGTTCAATTGTTACAAAAACGGTGAGAAGAACAAGAGAATGGTGCTCAACACTGTTGTTGGCTGATGTAATCGAATTTGAGTGATTTGGGAATGACGGTAACAGCAAAAGTCAAGCTGAAGCAATCAGAAGGGTACAATTAAGGGAACTGGAATCACTTTTTGTTTCGTAGTCATACTTCTTAACGGCTGAGTCTATCATCGTGAATGAAAGGAACATATCATCTTTTGTGCCTCCTAACTCCTTTCATACGAAGGTCCAAGCTAACATACGTAAGGAAAGTAGATGCATGAGATTAAATCATGCTTTTTTTTTTGTTTGATAGATTCGTTATTGACCTTTTTATATGAACACGAAGTAGAATGGTTAGGTTCACAAACTAGTACCTCCATTTCAATCAACATCCATTTCGCACCGTATCCTAATGACGAAATGACGAATTATGATATTGCTCAGAACAAGTACCATTTGATCAATTCAATCAAAGACAAGGTTGAATTCTTGGAAATTAAATTGAAGTTCAACGGATCTTGTCTGGATCAAGATGTGCAAGAAATTAAGGAGAAGGGACAAAGTTTAATGTCACAAATAGATAACATTTCGAAACATTACGATTTACCATCTTATTCTTTCTATCCCTTACTTGCCAAAGTTGGAGGAAGGAGATCTTCGTCGCAGTAAGCTTAAGAAGGTAATTGTATTTCATGACGAAGATGACAAAAACTCTTTGCTCTGCATTTCATTCAAATAGGTATGGAGAAATCACTGCAACCTCACACACTGTTTGAAGATGGAGTTTTTTCATTGAACGACGCAGCACAAGATGATACTAGGTTCAACACCAAAACATATGGTTCAAAAATTGTTCAAACAATCATCTTCTGGTTGTTTCCAATCATAATAATTATTTTAATTAACATTTCTATTCCCTTAAAATACATGATTAAAAGCGCGTTGATATTTACATTCCAACATATGTTACAAACTCACTTAAACTTTTTTGAAATATAATCATAGGCCATATCTAAAAACATGAGAGTGAGTGGTGCCAATGTCGAGTGACAAACCAATAGAGGGAATCCACTGTACAGAGCTGCAACACCCTCCTTTTGAATAATGTTTTTCGCTGTCTGGATAGTTCCTTGAGATGAAGTTTTTTGTTCATCTTCTGCTGCTTCCAATTGCAACCGTCTCATGATTGTAACAATTGGATAAGTAAACAAGCTTGAGAAGGTAGAAGCAATGTTGCTGACCACAAGTGCACCCATAAATGAATCCTTTTTCACTGGTACAATGGAGCCTAGTAAGCTATAACCAGTAAAGTATGCAACTTGGTGAAGAGCAATTCCTAAAATATGGAGATGATAGCCTCGGAATAATCCTGCAAGTCCAGTATTATTAATGACCTTTGAAAGAACTTGAATCACATTTCTGTTTTGTGGAGAAGTGTCCGATGCCAATTTAACACGAGCCATTTCAAATGGATATGTAAATAGAGGATCAAATATTATCGGAAGATAGATAGAGTTATTAAGCTTTGAGAAAATGACTGATCTGATCCTGGGAGCAATTTTTGATAATCGAATTAAAATTGCCAAAAGATGAGCATCAAATCCTTTCCAAAATGATGAAAAATTAATCTTCTTCAACACGGAAACAATTCTATTTTGTTTTGCAGTTTTCAAATCGTTTTCATCATCATTGTGAGCAGCTGTTCCGGAACAAGGTGGTTTAGACGCAACTTTCAATACAACTTGAAATATTCCACTCTCTGCTCCCTGTCCTAACACACCCGATTGTTGGATGGTCTGCACACGAGACAAGGGATAACAAACAAATCGGGTGGCTGCTTGAAACAAAATGTCTTCTCTTGAAAGTGTGTTCATTTTTTTTAATTTTCTTGGTGCCTTTTTTGATTGGCCCAAACCTTTGAATTTGCACCAAGAAAGCGATTTAAATTACATTAAATTCAATGAAGCTCAGAACACTCTATTCAAATGAATTCATTGTTTTTAATAAATAATAGTTAAAAGCCACTGGATCCAATGACCATTCCAAGCATCATCTTAATTCTCTTAAAGAAGTTTTCAGTCCATCCACTCTCAACTTTTCCTTCACATAGTAGCCATTAGAGTCCTTGTATGGAATATCGACTTGATGTAATTTCACAATAGTCTCACCATTTCCTGAATCTGTAAAAGTAAGAGTGACTGTACTTGTGGCCTTCTCTGGCCAATCGTCGAATCGCCACTTTTGAACAATTTTCTGGTTGGGAGTAAATTCAACAAAAGTACCAGTGACCTTGCCATTGAACAGAGAAAATTTACCACCTGTCTTCTTTTCACTCTCAGCCTTACTTTGTGTATATTGAGAAATAATAGCTGGTTCCGTGAAAAACTCGAAAATCTTTGGCAATGGTGCTCCCTTAAATTTTTCTGTAATCTTAATCTCGACCTTCTTCTTTTGTTCTTCTGGAACATGGCCACCACCAGCACCAAGGACAACCTCGGTCACATTCTTGCTGACTCCAGTCTCTGGGTCAATCTCTGATGGAGGTTGTTCAGATGAAGAAGTGCCACGACTAGAGGAGACTTTGAGATTCTGTTCTTGCTCTTCCCAAAGTTGATATTTTTCTCTCACATTTGCTCCGTCACGCAATGCCAATAAAAATTCATTCACAATTTTCTTAATAGTGGTGGCACCTTCAGTTCTCAATGCCTCCTTGATCATTTTATGTTCTTGCTTCTTGCAGCTTGAATCCATTTCAATGTTAATTTCAAAATCACTTCCTTGGTCAATTTCTTGAGAAATGTAAGGAAGTTTAATTTTTCCTTTGGCCACAATGCACTTTTCCGAATCTTCATCCGTCATTTCTGATGGATCTCCTAATAATAATTTACCTGTCCATCCAATTTCCACATCCAATTCATAAATTGCAATAAGCTTGCGCTTACGATTCATGATGCTGGCTTCACCTTTTGTTGTAACCGATGAGGTAGTAGTAATTCTCATATTTCCCTTGGATAAAAGCTCCACGTTCTTGAATCGTTGCTTCAACTCATTCTTACACCAAGGTAAAACATCTTCATCGGTCCAGTGCCATCTTCCGACATTGCGTCCTGTAATGCCGAGATCATTGACGATCCATCTTTCATCTCCTTCTCCTTCCTTTGCCATGTTTGTATGAGTACTTGTTGTTGTTATTCAAAGGCCTGTGTGTTTGTTTACTACTCGATCGGAATTTAATGATGACAATTGTTGTAACCTTTGGAATATTTTTTTTGAACGTATCGGAAGTTGATTTCTCTCGGAATTCAACAGATGCTTTTGAAAGAACGTCATGTGCTTTTCAATGCTTTTATCAACATTGTTTTAATATTGTTTAAAAATGTTATATATTGAATACATAATCTTACTGTCAGGCTCTTCTTCTTCCAATTTTTCTTATTGAGCAATTCGATGATCATTTTCAATTTGTTGAGAAGATATCTGTGTTGAGATAAAATTGCATTCTACAAATCAGCGAGATTGGAACTCACTTCTTGTGAAGTTGGTCTTTCATTGGGTTCAGCATTCAGCATTTTCGTGAGTAATGTCTTGAGAGAGGGTAATTTGGAAGACCATTCACTGAGAGTATTGCTGTTTGAAAGTAATGAATCCAAGGCAGCTGCTCCACTCTTTTCAATGGAGTCTCTCACTATGTTGAGAGAAGTGGTATTGGAAAGGCAGCACACTAATTGAGTAAAAACGAGACCTGCCTGCCAAATGTCAGCTCTTTGATATTTATCCAGAGCAATATCAGATGAAAAGTCTTGAAGAGTTTTAAATTCAGGAACAATGGAGTTGGACAAATCTTGTGAAATTCCATAATCCGTCAATGCTAAAATTATTGATCCTCCATTATCATTTTGTGACAAGTCTTGAATAAAGATGTTACTCAATTTGATATTCTTGTGAGCTGTTTTTTGAGAGTGCAAGAAATTGATGGCAGAGGCAATTTGTTGCAAAATGGATAACACAAGCGTGGGAGAAAGTTGCTTTGAGTGTTGATTCTGAATAAAATCTTGTAAATTTCCTTTTGGATAGTAAGGCATTGCGAAACACATGTAACGAATGGAGGCCTTGTTAGATTCCTTATCTTCCTCTTCAAAGACATCGAATACATTTGCGAGAGGAATTTTCTTTTGCAAAATGATTCTTCCAGTTCGAATCATTTGAACTCCTTCTTTCATGCAACGATTGAACTCGGAGGTGGATCGAATTGGTACATATTTGATGACAAGTGGAGGGGCCGACTTGTTTGCAAGATCTTTAGCTGTGAATACTTTCTTATTGGAATCTTTAGAGTCAATTCTATGTTGAAGCTTGTACGTTTCATTGACAATCTTATTGGCTGATTTTTCTTTTTGAGCCACTGGCTCCTTGATGGAGTCTGCAATATCGAAATTTCCACTCAATAAACTATTGTTATTGTCACCCATGACACTGTCCATCATGTTGTGTTGATGGTTATTGTTTGGAATTTCGTTTGATGACATGAAAGATGGCATATCCAGTTGACCAACACCTTGTTTGACGGAATTGTCGAATTGAGAAAAGGCAGACATACTCTGACCCAATCCAGACATTTGAATTCCAGAAATTTCTGATTGCATGACAATGCCCGACATTTCAATACCGGATATGTTGGATAATTGAATTCCAGAATCTTGGTGAGCTGGCTTAGTTGGTTTTTGATGAGGTTTTTCTTGAACTGACATTTCTAATTCTGACATTACAATACCAGACATGTCCATGTTTGACATTTGAATGTTGACATTGTTTACGTCGAGATCATGCTCGCTAACGAGGTCTTTTTCTGAAATGTCTATCAAGGATGACGAATTATCTGAGAGTGGGACGTTGGAGGTCTCCGAATTATTCTGGTTTGCTTGTTCTGGTTGCTTTGGTTTTGCTTTTGTTTGATCAATCGTTGCTTTCAGTTTAAACTTGGCAACTGCTCCTTGTTTTTGGAATATTTGAGGATCTGCAAACTCAAATTCAACATAATCCTCAATGTCTTCATCATAAAATTCTAACTCATATTTGGTGACACATTCAACGTCATCGACACATTTTTCTAAAATAAAGCGAGCAATATCCTCCACAGTTGGTTCAATTTGCTTTGAGATGAGATATGAAAACTTTTTCTTTGTTCCTGCATAGTCAACGAAGAACGACACAAATTCACTTTCATAGACGTCTCCAAAAATATTAATCAATAGATCTTTAACAGCTCTGATTTTTGTTGAATAGAAACATGTTTTGAGCCAATCAAATTCGTTTGGAAATTGATTCACCAAATCTCGGTTCACGTTCACCATATTTTGAACCCATACCAACATGGTTTTAAAATCATGGGAACTTGTATCAAGGGATCTCAAAATTTGAATCATGTGTGGAATAACTACAGGAGCATGCTGGGGTGATGAACCAATTTTCTGAAAGATTTGCATGAGCTGAAACAAAACGGTTCGCTGATGGGAGAATCGGCCAACGAGGTCACAATCGAGCATGAGTTGTAGATACCCACACTTGACAAACTCGTCTGGAAAAACCGACAAGTCGTTGAAGGCAGCCAACAAGGTCCAATGCTCATTGTGTTGTTCCGACAGTTTAGCTCCATATTCAGGGTTCATGACCAACTCTCTATAATAGCCAGAACACTTTTCATTCATTAAAATAGATCTTGTATCATTGGGTTGTCTCAACATGTCAAAGAATTGTAACATTTGAGTGGAATTTTGTGGCGTTTTCTCCTTGATGATGGTGAAATAGCCTTCAATCGCTTCATAGAAATAATCTCGAATACTTTGAAAATCGGTATCGGATTTTGAATTTCGGTACGCAAGAACAAGATCTGAGAGTTTAGTGTACACTCGGGAACGCCAAATATTGAAGAAATCGGTATGATTCTCATCTACTGGAAAAGTAGACATGTCCTGTGATGATGCCATTTTTTTCAGGTTGACAAGAAACGAACCGACTTCACTGTGTGGGTTTTGTGAAGACGACAAGTTGAAGAATCCATTTTACAATCTTGTGAAACGACCTCATTCATGCAAATAGTAATAAATTTATTGAAGTTTTTCTTTTTGAAGGAGTTCATTAGCAGCACCATGTTTGGGATCAGGGCCTCCAATGATTCCTCTCCAAATAATTCTATACAAGTAAGGTAAAACAAGGTAAGGCTATATGGCATGTACGAGTCGTATTGAATTTCAATTTAGTTAATGAAATGATATCGTGTCATGATCATGCAATTGAAAAAAAAATTACATCATGATAAATATTAGAAATTGTGAAAAGGATCAATTTTAAACTGCAACATGCATGACAGACAACTTACCACACTCTCCAAACACCAATAAGACCAAATTTCATGGAATACTCCAAAATTCAAGGAAATAATCACACTCAATACCCAACCTGAGAATATTCCAAAGCCCATAATATAATTGGACATGAACCAGTCATCAACGGGTTGATAACGAAAGAAGTGAGGCAACACTGTAATGAGAAGCCAGGTAAACCAATGAGGAGCATAGCCATACAATTGATGATAAGGGAACATCCAATACAAATGATTAGGGCCTTGATAAGAGCAAAGGGAAGTACCAATATTTTGCAATGGTACGTGGTTGACTTGACTTTCAGTTCCGTAAGCATCTGAAGTTATTTCAAGTTTAGAGGATGAAGAGGCTTGAGCAGAGATGTTGGTAGCCTCAGGATGGCCCATCATACCATTATAACCCAAATACAAAGATATCGAAGAAACGATCAAGCACAAGAAAGAAGCTACCAATGTAAATCGGTACAAAGTCTTTCCTTTCAATGTATTCTTCAAACACCAATAATTTTGTGCGAGTGGTTGTCCCCAAATCAAGACATGAGCCATGATGGTGAGTATCTTATTACTCTGCGTATGGCATGAATCGGTCAAGCCGAAATAGTACTGAGTAAATTGCAAACTCTCCATTAAAAAGTACGTGAGGTAGAGAAGAATTTGGGAAAAGAGAGCAGCCTTTTTGAATTTGTACATGTTGGAAGATTGAGATTTCGAGGGAACGAGTTGGAGGAATCTTCTCACTTGATCAAGGGTCATGACTAACCCCAAACAAGAGAAGAGGAATGAACTTTTCATGGACCAACACATGGTGAATAATTGTGTGTGTATGGAGGAAAAAATAGGTATTGGCGATGTTGTTGTTGTTGTTGGTGTTGTCGACAACGATACCAAGATTCACTGGAAATGGTGTTGTGGAATGGATGCGGGACGGATTAGTTCTCGATCGTTTGTTTTTTTTGTGAGAGAAAGATTCGAATATTTGTTTAATATCACAAACAGACCAGCTCGATCGTGTGTGCACACATTCAAATTCAACGGGACCTCAAGAATAATTAAAAAATAAGGAAAGTTTGAACTTTTTTTTATAAACTGGTTTGTTGTAAATCAACAGAAAGATGGTTGGTAAAACGGATTATTTATTCTTCGCCGCGTGTGCGTGCGCATGTCTAATAGTTGAATAAATAAGATTTACATTACCTTTTCTATCCTGTAATTCAGCAAGAGTACAACACAAATAGATGCAACAAACATATGCATCAGTCTCATACAGGATGACATTATTAAGCGTGCGCTGATTAAACATCCCATGGTAAACCATGAGGCATCCTTTGGACTGAAATCAGTTCAAAGAGCATCCCACTAAAGTGAGGCATCCTATTGCGATGCAATAAGGCATCCCATGATTAAAATCATAAGGCATCCCAATGTATTGAGGCATCCCAGCTCAAATGGCCAAGGCATCCTTTGGACTGAATTCAGTTCAAAGAGCATCCCACTAAAGTGAGGCATCCTATTGCAATGCAATAAGGCATCCCAAGTTGAGACATGAGGCATCCCACCCAAAGGTGAGGGAGTTGTGGAAAGCCACAACTATGTTTGTTTATTTCAGAGGTGGATTGGGAGGAGGGTGGGTACTTTTCAATTCTTTGAGAGAAAGTGATTCTATCACCTTTCTCGAAGTAATTGATAATAATTGTTCCATATCACAAGTAATGTAAATTTTTTGAAAGTGAAAATTCAAAAAATTAGTCAACCAACCACTTTTATTGATTACAACAAACCTCAGTAAAACTCCCTTTTACTACCGAATTTGTTGTAAATCAACAGAAAGATGGTTGGTAAAACGGATAGATACCGCTAAAAACCCATCTGGCGAGATACATTCTTGTCAGATGCGAATCCAGCTCTGAAATACGCATCTATCGCATTGGAGGACCAATCACCTAGAGCTTGGATTGCTGTGTGAGAGAAACCAGCAAATGCTGCCTCTGACGCTCCTCCAATTCTTAAGGAATGACTAGAAAAAGAACCCGAAATCTTAAGGCTGGTTGCTACAAATCTAAGAATGTCCGAAATTTTAGCCGTGGATAAGGGAAGGTCGTCACCAAACAAATACTTTTGAGGGTTACACACTTTCCATAACCTAAGCCAGACGACAGGACATCTCCTGGAGTTAGTTGCCTCAATTTCGATGACTCTTCCTTTCTTGCTTCGTTTAAAATCATTCTTCACTTTTTCCACAACAATTCTGATTCCGTTAATGTTGTTCTTGTTAATTTCTACCACATTGGAGGTTAAAATACTACCCAACTCAGATCCTCGTAACATGGACCTGATGCCGATGATCATAAGGGTCGTATAAAAAACATAAGTTCTCCTGTCGACAAAGTTACACCCTTCGAGAATCCACATATCAATGTACATAATACGCCACTCGTTTCGTTCAATCTCGTATGAAACTGGTGCCATGTTGATCATGCAATCAACTAGAGATGAAATATGTTCACCCACCACGTCAATCCATTTGAACTGATTACATCGCTTCTTAATAGCAAACATTGCCAGTTTACAATTTTTTCCGGACCTACATTTAAGAAAAAGACACACCAGAAAATTGTAAACATCCATCTCTGTGGGTGGTATTGCAATATTTCTCTCATCGCACCATTTAACAAATCGATTCCAATAACTGTCATACGTAGTGTTTGTGGACTCACGACCCGCACCGGCCTTTTCAATTAGTCCACCAACTGATGTTAGTTGGTCATCCGAAAGTCGATTAGGGTCGCCTCTAATAGCCAAGAGCTTTTCTTTTGCGGTTCGCATTTCCCTGACCGAGAGGGTCTGAAATCTATTCCAGACATTGGTACTGACCGAACCTTGCCTTCCAGCAGTAGTGGCCACCAGGGTTTTGTCTTCCATACTGGGTGAACGAGTATCATTTGAGATTGGCAAAGCTTGCAATGCTCTAGCACCTTCTGGATAATGCTGAACGGCACGCAGCACCAATTTAGCTCTTCCTTGGGCCAATAGCAACTGAATGCATCTGCGGGCTGTTCTCTCTTGGTCCTCTTCCACACCATGTATTGAGGAACCTTGAAGTTGTAATTGCTGGTGAAACGGTCGAACTGAACTTTCACCTGCAATTGATGTTGAACTCTTTCGAATGCCTCTGGGGTTACTTCCCAATCTCCGAAATCCATCTCTTCTGTGGTTTTCAACCTGCTCAATTGATCGGCGATCGAATTTTGGGACGACGGTAACCATTCCACAGCAACTAATTGAATGTCGTATTGGAATACTATTCTCCAAATACCTTCCACAATCCTTTGAATTAAGGAATTTTTGGAACGACCTTTTCGCAAAGAAAACACTATCACTTGAGAGTCTGAAAAAATTCTCAAACACTTTCCCTGAATAAGGGGAGCGATTTTTTCCATGGCAATAAAAATGGCTTTTGCTTCCAAAACATTGATATGCATATGATCCATGCCATAAGTAGACCAAGAGCCGTGTAAGGTAAAATTCAATAATGGCATTGTAGCACCAAAGCCGGATAAAGAGGCGTCCGAAAAAAGTTCGTGGATCAATGACGGAAACAAAAATAATCGACCGTTCCAATGGTGAATGTTGCAAAGAATCCATTGTAATGCGTTCGATAACTGGTGGTCTTTCACACGGTGTAGCGTATCCCATCCATCCTCCACCATCTTGAAAATTCTTGAATAAATGGGATTGAGAGCAATTAAGGCTGGTTGAAAACAGTGTACATATGACATAACAGAGCCAGCCAACTTGGCAAGGTCTCGGGCGGAAAAGGCCTCCTCTCTGTGCATTTTTGATAGGAGGTTTTTGCATCGAGCAACTATTTTCTCCACACCCTCTTCGGGAATAGAGAGAGTCATGCAATTCAGATCTACCAATGCTCCTAATAATAAAAAGACTAAGGAAGGTTTGAAACAACCTTTTGAAGGTTCTCTTACAAATCCATAAAAATCCAGCCTTAAGCTTAATCGAACAAGCTTGTTGTAGGAATCTAAGTAAGAGATACATAACACAGCCATAAAATCGTCCAAATAATTGGACAATGTATAGCCTTCTATTGTTAACAATCGAACACCTTCGTCTACTATCTGAGTGAAAAAGAATGGGCTTCCATTCCATCCAAATGTCAATACTGTGAAGCAAAGAAGATGACCCATAAATTCGATCACAATCTTGTCTCGATCTTCTTCTCGTACCTTCACTTGGTGATATCCTGATAATAAATCGAACGTAGCACAAAACTTTTTCCCACCACTGCGAATGTGATCCAAACACTTGCTCAGAGTTTTGTACTTGAACTTTGGGATCTCCAAACAATACTTGTTTAGGGGACGAAGATCCACAATTAATCTGAATTTCTTCTTTCCTTTCTTCGGTACCAATCGATACTTGGCCACCACCTTCGGAGTTCCTTGGAAGAATTCCAATGCACCAATAGATAACATCATACATATCTCTTCCGTTAGAAATTCTCTTTCTTCCTTCGACCAAAGAGATATATCTACTCTTCCATAGTAAGGGATGAAATACTTGCTGACCATAATTGGAACCCCATCTTTCAAAAGACCCACAATCTCTTTTTTGGCACCCATCATTTCCCATTGTCTCCACTTGTTGGAAATCGAATGAATAGCCTTCTTCCTGAAGGCAATTTCTTCCATGTGAGTATCTTGGAAAAAACTGAAGGATTTCGTAGAGAGAACTGTGAGGGCCTCGTTGTTTATTGGCTTTCTCATCATCCCTCATCTTTTTGCGACACGTTTCTTTAGTGTGACCTGGCTTCTTACAATATAGACATACTATATTGCTAACATCTTTCTCTGGAGTAGGGATTTTCAATTGTTGTTTCAACACCTTTGCATCTTTGTCGCTCTTACCCACTGCTTTCAGCGCCCAAGAGAACAGGTCCGCTTTTTCTCTCAACAACGGGTTGAGTGTAGAGGAACTAATTATCTCTGCCGCTTGCTGGTGCTTCTGTCTCGCAAGGAGAACAAATGCACGATTCTCGACTGAGTCAATAGCCCGTTGCAACTCTTCATCTTCGTCCTTATTCTTGAGCTGTTTCTTCAACAGAATCTTGTAAATAGCTCCAAGAGAACTAAACTCCTCCACTTCTTCCTTCCTGACTGAGTTACGGTCAAAAACAGTAGACACCCGTTCGTTGGCAAGAGATTCGGCCATACAATCTATTTGAAATAGATTCAAATCAATACTCTTCCCACTCTTGAGTAGCTCGAGAACCCTATTTCGTTGACCATTAGCTAGGGCCGCTGGTAGCTGGTCATCACAGACATCCCTTTGTGAAAACGCGCCTTGTTGAGTCAAATCAACCATGATTTGGTTGATGTCTCGTTCGGCCGATGACTTTGCTTTCTTAACCTCATCACGCATAAAGTCTAACTCTTCTTCTAATTCTCTAATCCTTTTTGACAGCACTTCACTTGAGACCTCTTCTTCCTCTACTTCCTCTTCTACCTCTTCCTCTTCTGTCCGTTCCGGAACTACTCTCAAATCCTTGATTCTTCTGAGTAATTCTTTCTTACTTGTAATTTCGTTGGACTGGTCAGAGGGGTAGCAAGATATTAAATCATTAACAACATCATTCTTCTTCCCTGCTGGGAAAGCCTTCTTGAGTTTGCTGTAGATACTTGTTTCTACATTGTAAACAACAACAAGAGTTTGGAATTAATTGGAGGAAAACTAATGGGTTTGTAACTCACCAAACATCCATCCTTTGGAAAAGGATTGGTGTTTGAGGGATT